GTAACGACAAAGCTCATCAGCCCAAAGAAACGCAGGAAAGGCAACCACCAAGAGATGACCAAAATTCCTGCGGCCCCAGCGCACACCTTTCCAGCAAAAGCTAAACACTGGGTCAAGCGAGACGCACGACCCGCCAGCTTGAAAGCAGGGCAAACTCCTTAAAAGGAATTTGACGAGAAGGGTTCGTACTCGACCCAAAAGCAATCCACCAAGAAAGCTAGCTTATTCCGCAACTGGCCGAAACCACAGGCAAGAACAAGGACCTGGGCTCCTTAAAAGGAGCCACGCAGGACAGGTTCGTACTCGACCTGTCCAACCACTCCCTCAGGGAGCGCCATGAACTTTACTTGGGGTTAGGACTGAATTACACCACCGTAGACCCCAAACGACAGTTTGTGTTTTTCAAAATCGAAATTAGAGCTTGTGACGTCCAGAGCTGGGAGACAAAGGATTGCAAGGCAGAGGCGGCCACAGCAGCCCAGAGCTGGGAGACACATGTAAAGGATTGCAAGGCAGAGACGGCCACAGCAGTACAGAGCGGGCGGACACATCTTAAGAAAGAATTGAGAAGCCGAGGAGCGAAAGCGAAGGATGTGACATGAAATTGATTTTTGGTGCCTGACGTATGCCCTCCGTCCCAACTGAACAGAGAGATCGCTGCCACGCCGCCGAAATCCAATCCGGTCATTCATCCAACGCTTGCCCAAAAAGGAAAACAAAGCTGAGAGAGTTACACAGTGTGGCAGGAATGCAATCCCGGACATGCACCCCTTACAAAGGAGCAAGAACCTTTCACAGGTGAACCTGTTCCTGTGAACAGGGCAGAAAACAGCAGCGCAGGCACCAAACCTGAAAGACCAAAAGAAAGAACTCGCACGAGAAACAAATGAATAGAAATGCTACATGGCCAGCGGAAAAGGGCGGCAGCGCCAGTGACAGACCCGGGAAACACATGAATAGAAATGCTGCATGGCCAGCGGAAAAGGGCGGACATCAGCAGTGACAGACCTGGAAAACAAATGAATGTAGTTGCATCGCCAGCGGAAAATTGCGGACACCAACAGTGACAGACCTGGGAGACAAATGAATAGAAATGCCGCATTGCCTGCAGAAAAGGGCGGGCACCAGCCGTGACAGACCTGGGAAACAAATGAATAGAAATGCTACATGGCCAACGGAAAAGGGCGGACACCAGCAGTAACGGACCTGGGAAACACATGAGTACAAATCCTTCATGGCCAACGCAAAAAGGCGGACACCACCAGTGACAGACCTGAAAAACACATGAATAGAAACGCTAAAGGCGCCAGCAGTGACAGACCTGGGAGACAAAAGAATAGAAATGCCACGTGGCCAGCGGAAAAGGGCGGACACCACCAGTGACAGGCCTGGGAGACACATGAATAGAAATGCTGCATGGCCAACGGACAAGGGTGGACACCAGCAGTGACAGACCTGGCTGCCGAAATCCAATCCGGTCATTCATCCAACGCTTGCCCAAAAAGGAAAACAAAGCTGAGAGAGTTACACAGTGTGGCAGGAACGCAATCCCGGACATGCACCCCTTACAAAGGAGCAACAACCTTTCACTGGTGAACCTGTTCCTGTGAACAGGGCAGAAAACAGCAGCGCAGGCACCAAGCCACATGAGAGACAAATGAATAGAAATGCTACATGGCCAGCGGAAAAGGGCGGCAGCACCAGCGACAGACCCGGGAAACAAATGAATAGAAATGCTGCATGGCCAGCGGAAAAGGGCGGACACCAGCAGTGACAGACCTGGGAAACAAACGAATATAGTTGCATCGCCAGCGGAAAAGGGCGGACACCAACAGTGACAGATCTGGGAGACAAATGAATAGAAATGCCGACACATCTTGAGAAAGAATTGAGAACCCCTAACAATAAACTGTTTGGGGAAAAACTGGATAGCCGCCAACGCCTTTAATCCACTGTACTCGATATACTCAGCAACTTGGTCATCAAAATCCTCAAAAGAAACAATAGCAAAGGACTCATCAAGGGAATAACATTTCCTGAATTCATCAAGGCTTGTTGACTATATCTATTGTCAGTACTTTGTGAAACGACTTGATTTCGCAGCTTCTCGATCGTTTTCCTCCCTTCTCGGCATTTCTCGTCCGGAGTCGCATTTCTCACCTGCTGTTTCCTCCTAGGCATGGTTTCGACGGCTGGTTTCATCAGCTGGGTTGCCATCACTCTCTATCCAACCCAGCACCGGCCAAACTCCACCTGCTAGCTGCAAAGGACCATACTTGTGAAGGAGAGGAACTGCGGCCTTTCACGGCAACTGCCAAGACCACACTGGCTGTCCACTAAGTGGAGAGCCCTGCAACTGCCAAAGCATGAGCTGCGTAAATAAAACGCCATGCCAGTGTAGGAATCATTCAAGATGTTGATGTGCTCGGGCAGGATGAACGCGTAAGATTGACCAACGTGCCATTGCCGTTTCGCCGGATTGATACTTCCTCTGGGGAAGCTGTCAGGGCGGTACAAAGTGCCAAGGCCCAGCCGGACATTGGACCCTCCAAATTCTTGTCTGCGAACGTAGGCTGGTACTCAGCTTCATGTCCTGTTCATGCAGCTGGTAACCTCGTGTTTTGGTGGTCCAAAGTCGACTTTTCGTGACAGGTGCAAGGGATCGGAGCGGTTTTACTTCAAGGTGCAGATTTCGTGGCAGGTGCAGCACTTTGGAAAGGGCGGTGATCGTCGAGGAGCTCAGATTTCGTGACATGCGCAGTGAATCGTGACTTTTGGACTTTTGGACATGTGGCTCGTTTGCAGATTTCGTGGCAGGCACAGCACTCTGTGACCCTCGATGCGCAGATTTCGTGGCAGGCACCGCACTTTGTGAACCTCGAAGTGCAGATTTCGTGGCAGGCACAGCACTTTGTGAACCTCGAAGCGCAGATTTCTTGGCAATGTGGTGGTTGATCAATATTCTTTCATCCTGGAATGGCCATTCTTCGCGGACAAAAAGACATCTTTCGCGGATCTTTCGCGGCCTCATCGCGAAGCATGGTCCTACAACCATGTCTAGCTAACATGAGCCCGAACATGTCATAGTATCACAAAATAGGGACAGACATCTTGCAGCATGACCCCAGTAGAAGGTTGAACGTTTCCAGCTACTCAGGGTCACTTGCAGCATCTGCGCGACAGTTGTGTCAAATGGAATCAGGCACAACTCAACCCAATCATCGTGCCAGCTCCAACACAGGGTGACGCAGCTTGGGGAATGTTGGGGGGCCTCAAGCTGGGAACCCAGACTTTAGCGGCACATTCGCGAAATTTCACTGGTGCTTTCCCCGGGAGGCCGTAACATGTCCAACCATCTGCACAGCCCGTCCGAGCAGCTGCAGGTCGTTGCCTCACTGTCAGGGCTGTGCCTACTCAGGTTGCTAATCTGTGACAGTGGGGACAGGGATCGGAGAATCCTTTACGCAGTGCCAGGGCTGGGCACGGAAATGTTCTTTGTCAGCCCGGTAGAAAGGAAAACATATGAAAGCGATGACCTTCAATAAATCGTTCGCGGAAAACAAAAGATACTTGCGCGAACTGCATCGCGAATCTTTCGCGGATGGTTCTAACAACATCTGAAAGGCTGTTTTCTATAAAACTCCTTACACGGGGTTTTCGATCAACTCCCATGTATGTCTGTATGCTTGGATGGATGTCTATGTCTGTATGTGTGTGTGTGTCTGTTTTCCCTTGCGGGCGGCTTCGACCGCGAAGCGGTGTGAATATTCACAGTGATCCACATCACAATATCACAACACTCCGACACTGTTTGCTGAAACTTCCGCCCACTAGCTGGCTCTGCTGGAGTGCGGAGTCTGCTTCAAAACTAGTTCAAACATAGCACCAGGGCCTGCAACATAATCTTAGTATTTGCTGAAAGTCTGAATCGGGATTGGTTTGGGATGGTTTAGGGGCATGGGGGCATGGTGATAGCTTTGAGTGTGCGGGTGTCCACGTCTCTCTCTCCCTCCCTTCCTCCCTCCCCTCCTTTTGCAAGTCTCAAATGAGATGCATCTTCACGTGTTTGCGGAGCCTGAGGGGCCTTATTCGCTATTAACTATGACTATTGCTATTACTGCATTCCAATCAATGGCAGATAGCGGAGCTAGACTAGAACCAGGACTGAAAGCTGATGCATGCAGAAAAGTCACTGAAGTAAAGAGTCGCATTTCCAAATGAGCGACGGTCAAAATTTGTTGTGGAGTTGCAGGCCATCAGGATTTGGTGAGTGTATTATCGTTTTTCACAACCGCCACATTATCGTTTTTGGTGAGTGTTTTATCGTTTTTTGAGCAAAACATGCATTTTGAACTCCCATGCCCACTCACTGACTATTCAACGGATACGGGATACACCCTTGACTGCCCAGGGTTCAAAGCAAAACAGATCGATTAGTGCCCAAGACATGCTCTTTGCATCCTGCCTGGACAGCGTAAACTCTCCAGGGCACAAGTGGGTCTGACCAGCAGCGACGGTCTTGCACACCTGTGCATTGTCCATGGTCGCTGGGTTCATGCCCAGCATTGCCGGCTGTTCTTATTAAGGGGCGCCATGAACGAAAGCCAATTGTGCGGTGTCATTGCTGCACTGTCTTGGGTTGGCATGTCTGTCTAGGGCAATGCATTCCATTCCATCACATCTCCAAATGTAATACAAGCGAAGGTAGGTGTGTCATCATGTGTCTATGTCAGCTGCATGTTCATGCAAATCCGCATTTGCGAGCTTTGGCTGATTCACCAACAAGCTGTACAAGCTTCTGGTATGCAGCTGATCTGAAATTGCTGCGAAATGAGAGACGTTCTCAAACCTCAATCTACAAGAGATCACAGCTCAAACTCTTCAGAGTGTTCCCAACTGCCTTGCCAACGAGCTGAATGGGAAATATCAACAATTAGAAGGAAGAGTTGTGACATGGAAACTCTCGAGATTGAGCTGCTTCGAAGCTGTTTAACACCACTGGAACAAACACATACCACATACCGCTTTGTATCAGCAAATATGTACAAGATCTGCAGCGGTGCTGTTCCGCAGGATCCTTTCCCAACAATATGTCTATGTACAAGACTTCATGCTGCTCAGAGCAGCGTACAGCCAGGACGAGCCTCATCAAGTCTTCCCCACTGGAAAATGATTTCTAGGAAGACTTGAACAAGTGGCAACTCGCAAGATTCTGTGCTTTATTGAATTTAAATCCTTTAACTGGTCTGCGAAGTCCCTGACCTGCGTTCCAGCATCTTAATTCATGTTGTGTGTTTTGAAAGATATAGATCTTGATGTTGCAGTAACAATGCATTGTCTCCACCACTTGCCTTTGGAGAAGTGGGGCTTGAGTCGAAAGACACTCCCCGGCTCCCAGCAAGAAAAAAGGGTTAATCTTAGGTAGAGTTGCGTTTTGCTGAATGAAGTTTGGCATTGGACAAAATAACAAAAAATAGGAAAACACTAGTGACAATAATAAGTAAGACCAAAATTAGGAAACCAAACAGGATAAAAATAGTACAAAAAATTGGAAACAAATAGGACACACAAATCTGGAAAACACAAATCAAATAGCCGGGCAAGAAGAAACACGATACGGATACCGCAATAAGGATCACAAGCACACAGACCCAAATATCAAGAGGTAAGGCTGACTAAAGAATCAATATTGCTGAAGGAAGGGTGGTTGAGGGAGGGGTGACGGTCGGGGAGGCTGGGGGGTGGTCAGGATAGGGGTCAAGCGGCCTAGTTTTGCAGTGTTTGGAAAGGCAAGCTTTCCTAATGTGTATCATTTTTTTTGATCACACCCAGTGGAAGCTTAACTTCCTCAACACAAAGGTAGAGGAAAGGAGAAGGAAAAGCAACACATTCCCCCATTTTTAGTTACAGTATATAGAAGTGAATGGAAGGATGGGAAGAGGATCATGCCCCTGCGTAATAGAAAGGATTTTAGTGGGGAAGGTGACTGGAGGGGAAGTGCAGAACCAATAACTGAAGCAAACCGTGCAGTAAGGGAGGATGATGTGTTCCTGACATGCATCTTTCTTGCCTGTATAATGTTGTTTCTGGTGTCCTTTCTTTCTGCATCATTCCGATTCCGTTCATACATGGAGCATTGGGTAGGAGAGTGAGCAGGGGAAGGAGGTTACAGGCAAAACAAGAAAAAACAAAAGAAGAAAGGTGAAAGAATTGAGGCCGAGGTGTTGACTGCCAGATACTGCGCCATCTACTATCGACTATCTACAAGAATTCAAGTTGGGGGTTGTGTGGACAAGGATTGCAAATGGAGTGGTTCATGAAGTCAGTGACTTGCGCCTCACTATCTTGCGCAGGAGAAGTGTCGAGGTGAAAGAAAACAAGAAGCCGTTGCTTTTCTTCTGAACACTCCTGCACAGGCTGTCCCTGCAGTTGCATAAAATCCTTTGCGACCTCATTCAACTCTTGGCTCAATTCTGCGTACGCGTCCCTAATTCTTCTCCTCCTACCCTTCCTCCCTCTACAGTAGCATGTGCCTGTGGTGACTTTGGCGGAGTGTCGAAAGAAGTTCCAGCTACCTACCAAGACTTGCCAAGAGACTCGACAAGGTATAACATAAAGCTTGCGACAACGTTGTGGGCCCGGGAACTCTGTGGCTCTTGAGAAGACCTGCCTCCTCAGAACTCTTTTGTGGATCTGCGTCTTCATTTTGTGCAGTAGGACTGGCAGGACAAAAGCTCGAATCGCAACTCATGATGTGCAGTCTTTGGCCTCCCGATGGGCTCTGCCTGAAGAGATAAAAGAAAAAATTACCACGTACTGTATATAACCTGCAACTGTTCCTGCCTTCAGTTCTCCTTTTCGGAAGGCTGCCACAAAGTTCCGGATGGCGGTACCATCAAGATCCTCCTGGACGGTCATACTTTGCAATAAAAGCATTGTGAGGAATGTGTGTGTGTGTGTGTCTGCGTGTTTGCATTGCATTAGGTTCTCACTGTTCAGTGCTCATCTTTGGCTTCTTACAACGAATGTTGGAGTGAGAGCCGGTTACAGTGGCCTTGGAGTCCAAACGATAGCGCTTCTCCGCATCCACATCAAGGATCACCAGTGAAGGACTTGACATGGCTCCACTCATTTCCCGGACCTGCAAGCTACAACACTGCATCTCCCTTAGTTTCCAGGTCAAGGAGAATGCACGGCGTCCACAGTATTCAGATGTATTCAGCATCCTGCCTGGGGCACAGCTCCAGAAGACTGCACAGCTATAAAGAATATGATCGGCGGCACCTCAAGTTCTCAAGATTCTCAAGTACAGTAAGGTCCAAAATTGTACCGTCTGATTTGGACATCCTCAAGTTGCAGCAACAAAAGCAAGAAGCTCTTGTCTTCAGCCCGCAATACTCTTCAAAGGCTGCTTTAAAACATCCCGAAGCTGCCTGCCCCTCAACACATCCAACGTCTTTGTGAACCTGACGCTGCAAAGCTTTGCTCTTCCTAGAAAAGCAAACAGAAACCTGCTGCATGCTCGAACCTCGCTGGCTATCTGCAAAAGGATCTGAAACAACTCGCTTTGCCTGCCATTTGTTCATTTTCAGAGTACAAATCTTCTCCGGTGAACAGCTGCTCTCCTGGGGGGTGGCAATCCCTCCATAAAAAGGCAAACGCTTGGAACCTTACGAAACGGTTCCAGCACAATCAAGCATTCAAAGAGACTTGTCTTCTCAATGGAGGCAGCAACGGAATTGATCTCTTCAATGGGGCGGGCCAAATCCAGCCTGGTTTCCAAAGGGGCAATTTGTTGCTACTGCTCTGCTTCAGAAGAACTGAGTTGCGGCACACTGGTCTCTGGTGCATGTCCAGTCTTCTCTCTACCACCTCCATGATCACACCTCGGGACAGTGCCTGCGCGAAGCTGGTCAAAAAGGTCAAGAAGGAACAAACCAAATGAACACCAAAAGTCGAAACAATGCAGTCGTGAGACAATTCGCGAATCGTATGGTTCGCGGTTGGCTTGTTTCTACACATGCCGTCTGTGCCTCTGCCTTCGTTGGCTTTGGAAGGTACTTGGTGTAGTCGCGGTCGTGCGTATATGACAAACATCTGCACCAGGCAAGTGCATACCAAAGCAAGCAAAAACTACGGTACAGACAGGCCAACATATATTTAAGAATTTAACAATGCAACCAGTTTCTGAAAGACGAAGACCCAGTGTCTAATTTAGTGTGGTGTCAAAGAAGCAAAGAAGCTGGAGAAGAGTACAGAACAGATTTAACGTGCTACAGCGAGCGCGTTCTGAATAGGAACTCACTGTGTCAAGATCTGACGGAGCTCAGGACTGGTTTTCTGTCCGAACAATGCAATAGCAAATAAAAATACAAGGTTATACCGTCAGGCAGTGTTTTCTAAAGAATTTGAGCCACACAGAATGAATGCTCAACAAAGTCAGACTAAGCATCTGAGACCTTCAAATGAGAGATATGTCAGTGGCCTAGCAAATTCTTCATCAGTCCTCCCTGTCTCTGTCGAGAAGAGAAAAGGCATGGAGAAAGCAAGTAGGGTATAGTAAGTATAGTAGGGTCAGGCTTTAAAAGTGGAGCCCAGAGTTTTGGGTATGCAAAGAAGTGTGAGAGCAGCAAAAAAAAGAAGAGTATGCAAGCTGCCTAGGGCCTGCAACTCATCCAACGAATGTGGTGTCTGACATATAACATGCCAAGAGAAGCCGTGAAAGGCAAAAATAGCAAAGCAAACATTAGAAACACAGTGGAAGTGGAAAGAGAATGCCTTCCTGAAGCTGCAAGCAATGAAATAAAGGACAAAAAGGCACTTCAAGCAGTGCTGCAACGTACAGACTGTAGAAGCACAAGCAAAATCTCCAATTGACCTCCTCTCAGAAGTTGTGCTGAGAATCTGTATGCCCTTGAACTAAAAGGAAATGGAGTGTGGGTTCTTACCTTTTCGGGTTCCTATCAGATCCTAGCGCATCAGCAGCCAGAGTTTTGAATGCCCAAGCATCGGACATTGGGTCTGGAGTCTCGGCATGGGAGCTCCGAAGCCTATGAAGGCGATAGGCCTGCCGAGGACACTGCTCCTAGTAGCGATGCCCTTGTTCCTAGTAGAGTCCTTGCTCCTAGTAGTAAGGCCAGGAGCCCCAGTAGCGTCCTTGCTCCTAGTAGGCGATAGGCCTGCCGGGGGCCGAGGACACTGTTCAATTCTGCCGAGACAGCGCTGGAGACATTCAAATCCTGCTGGTTCCAACCAAACATTAAAAAAGAACATAAAACCTTTCAGTATGTAGAGTCGGGTGCCTCTGAATTTCGGTAGGTCTCACTGACCGACCATAAAATAAAGTTGACTCGCTCCCCAGACTGAATGTTGTCCGCACCTCGATCTCACATGTTCAACCGATTTATATATTCGAACTATTGAAGGAAAATAAACAAAAACAAAACAACGAAGCTTGACAGGACAGAATTGCTATAAGTGCCAGTCCATGGCGGTGCCGACCTGATAGCAGTGCATGGAAACACGGAAAGTTGTTTTCAACTGGATGCTGGATGCTGCCTAAGTGTATCACAGCACGGCCCTGACATCATGCAAAAGTGTTTTTTTGCATCGGATACATTCGACAAATCAGATCACCTTTAAGCAGCAACCCTAGGAGACTAGGAGTATAGCTTATCTCCGGCCTTCTCGTGCTTGTAGGTATACTGCATCTTTCGGTGATTGTCGTCGGTGACCAAGCCACAAAATGATAGAGTGGCGCCCTCGAAGTCCTTGGCATCATGCAACCTGGAAGTCTACAAAGTTTGTCCATCGGCTTGTAAGCCCGCCTTTCCCAAACACGCGTTGAGTGTGACATCTGAATCATCCTGCCAAACCCAGCATCAAGTCTCAAAAGTCGGTGCCTGTGTTAGTCAGCTTTAACATTGAATTGCTCAAAGCTTCGAAAAGCAGGAACACGGACCACCATGGGTGCATTGTCTAAAAAGTATTGTCTAAAGAGTGTCTCATGATTGCATTTATCCTCGTGCATGTCCAGACCAATGTCTTCGTCAGCTTTGTACCTTCACGAAGGCTCGTGCTCCACAGGTCTACCCATCTTTGGACTCTCCGTGTTGTCTATTCTGTGTGTTTCCTTTTTGTTTAGCCAGTAGAGACTAGGTAGCTACTAGGTACAGGAAGCTACTACATATGGATGCAGGATAGCTCACACTCGCACTAATGATTTGGTTCCTAGATTGTTTGGGAAACTTAACCTTGATGTATGTGTGCAAAAGAACCAGCTCTCACCAGTCCTGACGATGAAAGTATGATGATCTTGACATTCTTGAGACTCTAATGGAAAAAAGGGATGCCATGAGTGGCATCAAGTATTCCTGCAAGAGCAAAGAGCCAATGCAACGTACAAGGCTCAGTCTTTCAAATTCTCTCAGTGTCCTGTTGAATGACTGTGATCAAGGGTTCCAGACCTCAAATGAAACTACTTCGGATCTTAGCGCTGGCCCCACATAGCACGTCCTAAGGTGGTGGCCGAGCTGGTTGAGCACCACCCCATATCTGTTCATGCCATTGGGTCGATCAAGAGCCTTTCCGATGCACAGAACAAAGAAACCCAAAACCCAGATCCAAAAGCCAAAAGTGGTCAAACGTTGAAGTGAGGAGTTTCCACGTTCCAGCTGAAAGGATCCTTCTGTGACTTCAAAGCAACATTCACCTGACTTAAACTCTGGTTTCCAGTGTTGCCATACAGTACCAAGTCGCTGCCAAACAAGCTGCGACCAAGAGTGGGGGAGAGGACAGTCTCTTCACTTGCCTCCCTTGCCGATGACATAAGCATCGAAGCAAGAAGTGCTAGTTCAAGAAGCTGTCTCGTTCATGCTAGTACTGGGATGTATCGCATATTTGTCCAGAAACGTGGGGAGTGCAAACTGTTTTTTCAAGCAACACACGAGAGGCAGTTCTCCCTGAACTTCAAAAAAAATGGAGGTGCTATGAGAGGGGCGTGCACATGTTCAGTTTAGACTCAAACTGAATATGTTGTCAAAGAAACTCTATCCATCTATGAGTCATGCCCTTTAAGCATAGTCAACTCCGGTCAGTAGGCAGGAACCGCACTGCTTACTGCACCCGGATAAGCTAAAAGGTGCTCGGAGTGCACCAAGTTTGAATTTCAATGATCAAGATGACACATGGAATTGGCTAAACACCAAGGTACCAAGAATCCGGATTGCGGCAATCGTTTATACATTAAGGCCCGTTGCTAACTAAACATATCTTGGCTGAGGTGCTTCTTTGTGTGAAATCTGGCCCAAGCCTCACGAGCAGTCTTCTGGGCATGGTCTACTTCCTCAAGAAGCAAGTCGCAGAACCTGGCACAAAAAACAAACTCTCAGCTAGCCAGTGCAGCTGCTTCATTTTCTTGTATCAGCTTGCCATTCCCAGGTTTCTCGTTCATCTTGTTCCGGCGGAACATGAGATTCAGAGGCTTTTTGCAAGTGATCATTGCATGCACCAACTGGGTAATCCAAGCTAATCAGCAAGTGTAGTCAAGTAGGACGGCACCATCGTCACGAAGTTCAATGAAGATTTCCAGAACACTTTCTATGCTAAAGCAAAAGCAAAAGCACACAGGCTAGATTCAGGAGAAGAGGTGTGGAAGACTGGCACCAAGTGGCACGAGTGACCAATTGGGGCAAGTGGGACCAAGTGGGACCAAGTGGACCAAGTGGACCAAGGGCTGCGGCCATATGCTTAAGTCCCAAGTGGTCAAATGGGGTCAAGTGACCCTCAGCAAATGCAAGGGCCAGGAGGATGCTTCACTCCCATGGAAGATCTGCACTCCGACAAACTGAAGCGCAGAAGTGACGCCGGGATGGCTCAGAGCTCAAAAGGTCGAAGGAGAAAACTCCAGAGTTTCTTCTCGCAAAACCTTGACACAATGAGCAATGCGTATAGGACGTACCGAATCACATTGAAGCAATGCAAGCAGCACCTCTCTCTATCTGAGGAGAGGACGTCCTTGAAATTTGGATGCTCGGCAGTCGCGGCAGACAAAAAGGTAGGGGCAAGCCACCTGCTCAAGGAGCCCCCTGCCTGTTTGAACATGTTGAACATGGGCCGAATGCAGAAGAAATTCAACATAGACAATATGTTGATAAGGTAAAATGAAATATGTCTTGCTTGCCTCCTTACATTCTCGTGCGGATTCTCGAACAATTCAGGATGCAAAGGCTCATACCTGCCTGCAGTCTATACAAGCGAATAGCGAAGGAGCACAGTAGCGAAGAAGCAGCCTTCTTTGTAAACATCTCCGAAGTAGTGCTTGCGCAGCTCAGATTTCCCTGCAAAATCAGTGTGGTTAGCTTGCTTTAGGTCAAAGATGGAATCAAAAGCGGCGGTTGCATGACTTGAAAGTCGGCCCTTTGCAATACAGTAAGTCACCAACATTCTTCAGGGTAATGTCAAGCGGTAAAGTGTCTCTGCTTTTCTGAACTTTTCACGCTTGCACACGTGGTCCAGAGCAGTGGCACGGGCATTGCAAGTGCTCCAATTGAGTAATACAAATACATTGACACCATTGTTGAGCAGTCATGTAGTATTGGTATGAAGACATTCATCCCTGCTGCATGAAAATGTCATGTTAGTTTCCTCAGCGCCGGCGTCTGCGACTGCCACGACTGCGGCTATCTTTGCGCTTGCGATCACGTTTGCTTCTGCTTCGGCTATGGGTACCTGACCAGGATGGCATGTTCACACTTTAAAGGCATTTGACAATGCCTTTTTGTCGGCAAACAATGCTTAGGTACATCTCAAATAGGCCTATGATTGTTGAGCTTCCCTAAAAATCTAGGAACCAAATCACAGTGAAGTGCGAGCGCTTCTTCAAGGAAGCTCCCCCCGCCGGGGGCGGCCGGGGGAGCTTCCTTGAAGAAGTGTGAGCCATCCTGCGTCCATATGTAGGAGCTAGGAGCGTGTCTAGTCCCTCAATCAAGTAGTTTTGGAGGGTTTTTTCGGATTGTTTCTTTGTTTTTGTGATTTTTTTCGGATTCTGCTTTTGCTGCTTTTCTGTTTGTGTTGCTTTTCTGCTTTGGCTGCTGTTCTCCTTTCTCTTTTTGTTTTTGCTTTTCCATTTTTTTGCTTTGCAGAGAAGAAACCAAACAAGGAAGGAAGGAAGGAAGGAAGGACGGACGGACGGAAGGAAGGAAGCAAGCAAGGAAGCAAGGAAGCAAGGAAGCAAGGAAGCAAGGAAGCAAGGAAGCAAGGAAGCAAGCAAGCAAGCAAGCAAGAGCTGCTCACCTTTGGATCTGGTGTGCTGCTGGGGGGGGCGCTGCACAAAATCTGCACTTCATCTCCGACACCCGCGCCTGCCACGAAATCAATATTTTAAGGTGAACTCCCCAGCCAACCAAATATGCCTCCTGTGCTGGTTCTCTTTCTCTTTGCTGTTTCTCTGCTAACTGCATCAAACTGTTGTGATAGGTAGGAATTTCTCTGACACCTACACTATTCCAATGTATTTTGCCAGCTACGACAGCTCCCAAATTAGTCTAATCAGCTAGCAATTAATATGAAACCTGCACTATTCTAATGTATTTGGCCAGCTACGACACCTGTGTCTCTGCTAAGGACACGAAATTGCTGTAATTAGCTAGGTAAGGTACTAATAAGAAAGCCGCTCAATCCCAATGTAAAAAATAAAAAATAAAAAACAATAAAAGCGCACCCATTATATAAGTAGGCGCCTACTTGATGAAGTAAGGAGGCAGAGCCACGGGCGTTATATAAACAGACAAGGAAAAATATGTTCTTGCAAAAAGCCGCGATCGACGGCCTCGCGCAGGACGGCTTTGACGAACTGGCTCCGGCGAGCTGAATTCTTGAGGCCGCCAATGACTAGCACTGCGACTCCTCCAAACAGCCATCACAAGTTCTCACATTCGGAAGAAGAAAAAAAGTGAAAACATATTTGAAAGTTTGTTAAAGTTTCAGCTGAATATTAAAAACTTGTGTTTCGGTGAAAATGTATGACATTATAATTATGATGTATCCATTGAGTGAGGAATGCCGATGATTGTCAAGGCATGTTTCATGGTCTTCTTGCACTACTTCCAGCTGACTCTCAAAATGAGGAATGACACTCGCCAAGGCCTGCTGCAACTACGACTGCGACTGAGAACTGGGCTCCTACAAAAGAACTATGAAAAAATACATGTCTGCATTGCTTGAAACTGACATACTATGGCATATCCAGCAAGCCTCTTGCGTCTGCTTCTACTGCGTCTTCTGCGTGCCTAAAAACATGCAGCTTCATTTATCTGCTTGATTGCTTCTTCCTTGCAAAGGCTTTCTCGTCCGATTCTCTTAGCAGCTCGGATTTCTCAGCTGCTTGCCCGGCTTCGACCTCGAAGGCGAGAACACAAATGGAAAGGAAAGCAAGGTAGCAAATTGGCCATTTGTAAAAGCAATGCCTCAAACTTCAACCTTTTCTTGGCTTTGGCAGGTGGCAAAAATTGGATTTTTCAAAGATCTGTTCACCAAGAACCCTTTGCTTTCGGGGTGCCTTGTCTACTTCGGCTGCAACTTGGACTGCTCCTCCAGGTTTCAATCGATTGCTCAAACTGTGCTCTACCAGGCCACACACACACTCGAGGTAATTCGTACGGGATCGAAAGCCACTCGCCGCACGGCTGCCTAGGTGAAAAAGGGTTCCTGAGTTAAAAACCGGACGAGTAGGTTGGAGGCCATCGTAGCTAGGTTGGAGGCCATTGCATCTAGGTGGGAGGTCATCGCACCAGGTAGAAGGACCTCGTAAGTAGGTAGGTTGGCTGCGTACACAAACAATTTGAGCTCGCATCACAGTCTAATTCACGCTCACGTCATATTTAGATTGAGCAGAAAGGTTAAGTTGGAGGCCATCGCACTTAGGTTGGAGGCCATCGCATCTAGGTGAGAGCCCATCACAGCTTGGTTAGAGGCCATCGCTAATAGGTTGACTGCGTACACGTAGTCGCATACGTTTAACACACAAGCAAGTGCAAGTGGGTTGACTGCATGCAAGCTGAACATTTAACGCACAAATCTTTGTAGAAAAGCAACAACAAGTATAACTACAGACCTGAATACCTAAACCTAAACAGCCTTGCACCTCTACGAGTGGTCGGTAGTTACAACGCTCACAAACCAATGCAGGTACATGGGACTGGCCAGGTACCACATCCCGCGATATCACCCAGCTTCGTTTGTCAAGGTTGGTGATATCGGGCCTTGACACCCTGCATTATTACACCAACAGGTGACCTTTGATTCCAAGGTATTCACACCGACCCAAGGCCCACCCACCCACCCCCGCCCGCCCGCACGCATGCTGTTTAAGCGTCCTGTCAGCTGGCCGAAACCTTGCACAAGCAGTGAGTTGCGGATCGGTGCAAATGGCAAGTGTTGAGACTGTAGTAATCTGCTTTAGAAGTATATCTGGACAAATTTGGAGAAGTTGGTGTCCGGCGTCAATAATCCTTCTATCATTCACTGCGTCCAACTTTCAGATCATAAGCTCTGGACTTGGCAGCCAGCAACTTTTCGTGACTTGCCGTTTGAGGTATCAATTCCTGAAGAGTGTGGCATGTTGTCTAAACGGAACAAAAACACTTGTCTCTAATGAGTGTCTTGACAGTCCATGTCTTGCTATATCTTCTCGACAGAGTTCTCTTTATCTAATTGTACAATTGATGTGTTTTGTCCAAAGCACTTTGCGAAGGCCAACATGTTCACTTTATTTCGACACAGAAATACCAAGTTTAGTGCCGGAACCCCTCTGCGCACAGCTGGGACTGCAGTACGCATTCCAGGAGCTGTTCTTGCAAACCTGCACGTGGCCAAATTAATCGTTCCCTCCAGTTGAGCTTTTGAAAATCATGCAAAGTTTCATTGTGGTCTGCCAGGCCTGATCATCACGCATTTGCCCTGGACATTGCGACCATTGAGCCCCTGTGATTGGCCAAGTGTCAGGAAAGAATAGATATTAAACATTCTTTCGCCGCTCTGGATTCTGCGCTCAAACAAAAATGGCAAGAAAGACTGCACAAAATCAACATTTACTTAGTAGCTAGAAGCCATTAGTGGAGGCCATCGCTATTAGGTTGGAGGCCATCGCTACTAGTAACAAGAAGCTACTAGTAGCTAGAAGCTTTTCGAATCGAAAGGTGCCAAGAAGTGACTAAGTGCAAGAGGAGATCGGCAGGCAAAGGTGATCACGCACCTATGGCGTCTCAGCATGGCCTGCATCGCCTTTCTGGCATCGTCCCGACGTGCAAACTCCACGATGGCAATACGAGTGTCAGGCGCCTAGCACAAAGAGCAAACAAGAACTCCAAGTAGCACACACTGCTTCTTTTCTTTTTTGAGCCGGGGGTAGGCCGTAGCTAGGTAGCTGGAGGTAGCTAGTAGCTTTAAGTAGCTACTACCGACTGGACGCAGGATAGCTCTCACTTCGTCTAAGCATTTGGTTCCTAGATGTTCAGGGAAACTTACTGTAACTATATGTGACCCCCTCTTTGATTGTTTGATGTGCTTCATTAACCCGCTACGGAGGGAGCTGTCCGCCGTGAGAGTAGGCTCAAGTAGCTAGTAGTGGTACATACTTTGCTTAGATAGCTATTACTAGTACCGATCGGAAGCCAAGCTCAGGCTTTCTTCAAGGAAGTCAGCTCCCCGCTGCCCCGAAGGCGGCGCGGGGCAGTTTCCTTGAAGAAGTCCTCACACTACAGTATTCATTGATATTAATTTGGTTCCTAGTAGGCAACTGGTATAACACACCCTCAGCTGGTGACTAGTGAGACACGAGGAGAAGAGTCAGCCAAGTTCGGGGCCCCTTTCATGTTCTTGTTCTGAGTGATGTTCACATTCTTCACCTCGGCCAAGAATAGGCACGGTTTGATAGCCTGTGCAGTCAACATTCACTTGGCTGCAAAACTTCCCTTGACCTTCTCCCGGGCTGATGCTTTCGTACATCTTGGTGACACCCTGGGACCTTCAGTCCGCTGGCAGGTCTCCATATACATCCGCCAAAGTGATGCCTTGATGTTCCAAGAAGGATGTTGTGCAGTGGCACTCTGTGTGTGAGAAGGGCTGGGCAGACTATCCGGGTGCGGTGCAAAGCGAAACTGCTTGTTGCTGTGATTGTTGGTCACAGGTAATTGCTTGTTGTCTGTTGCTTGTTGTTGCTGTTGTTGTAACAGAGAGGTGCCTCAGGGTGCAAGCGTTCGGCAACGATTGTTCTTCACACTGATGTGAAGAATGTATTGGTACAGTATATTGTTTTATAGTTCTGTTGCGCGCACAGGCACAGGCTTGGAGGGAGTTTCTTCCCGTCTACATGTGTTTGGAGAAACACAAATATATATATATATATATACATATGCAAACATACAGTGGGTATCACCTGGCTTCCAAAAAAAAACTGGTGGCCTGAGCTTTAGTCAGATTGTCAAATGTGAAGAGATTGGGACACCGGACTCTCCCATAGTGTTCAAACTGGGCTTGCAAAGACTCGCTTGTGACACCATCCTGCAAAGCAACGCAAACACCATAGGAAGCTACTGCTACTACTACCCGTACTGTAAGCAGCTTGAGTTGGCATGCTGTCCTTGATTCCTTGGACACAAAGAGTAGCATACGGGAATGCCATCATCTTTGCGGCACATCACATGAGGCATAAATGCCGCAAGGTTTGCTTGAGGTTCAAGTGGTTTGGTGGTTGACTTTCTTTGCATTGCTTCTTTGGGGCTTCCAACCTGCTGTACACCATCAACATACGCTTGTCAGCAATACGGTCTTTGAATTACATATATATATATATATGTATTTATATATATATGTGATCTCGTGTGGCATGGGAGCAAAGCCATTCCTTCCAGCACTGCGCATGGATTGAGCCAAACCGAGCCAGTGGCATGTAAAGTGTGGCTTTATTGTTCCTAGTAGCGATGCCCTTTGCTCCTAGTAGCGTCCTTGCTCCTAGTAGTACGGCCAGGAGCCCCTAGTAGCGTCCTTACCCCTGACATGGTGAACTTTTTCTTGCTTCTCCTCACCTCAACTTTCTCTCACACAATTGTGCTGTTGTTCAGTCTGCACAGTTGCAGTCTCTGCCTCCATCTGCGGCCATTGCACAAAGAGCCCGCTGTTGTCTCGGCCTTGCAGGAGCAGCTAATGGAGCATCAGAGGGTAACATATCAGAAGGAAGAAGTGCAAAAAAGTACAAAAAGAAAGGTCTACCAGTCTAACAGTCTAACGTGCTAGAGTGGTAAGGAAAAGAACACAAGAAAGGAAGTCTTTCTTCAAATAAAGACATTGCTGACGATGTCACCTTCCGGTCACAAGTCCTTAGAAGACCCCAGCGGTGGTTCCTCCTCATTTTGGCCCGATCTTGAACTGGCTGAGATGTGTACTCTCTTGTGACAAAGATTGAAACGGCCTTAAAACCAAGCTAATTTGAACCAGGCTTGGACCAGCTACTGAGCCGCTACTGTGACTTTATTGCTTGTTATCGAAAGCTAGGAGCGGCACAAGGCCACAGGGACAAGCAAGCGCCTGGCAAAACAAACCCTGCAGCTTGGAACAACAGAGAAATACCTAAAGTCGCTACGCTGCTGAGTCTTTACCAAAAAGTCCCTGCCACGAAACTCTACCACTAAGTCACTAAGTAAGCTGAGGCGTGAACCAACCGAGACTCGCAGTTGCCTGTTGATATGGTGTCTCATCATGGTTGATCACGCTTGTCAATTGCTGGGTGGGCGGCGCAAAGAGCCAATGCACGAGCTTCTCTACAGCCTGTCTAGAAGCATGAGCTTTTCAATCGATCAGCAATTGGGGCTAAAGCGCCTTGGATCCGTGGAGAAATGACACCACGCCTTGACAGTTGGGAACAACAGTCAAAAAAAATCAGAAATTCATTCACAGTCTGCGCCTGGGGAACCACATCGCAGGTAGTCTTGGGCCGAAAAGTCATACATTGGAGACAGTTTCTACTTCTCAGCGAGAGGAGTGCGCCTACCTACCAGTAGCATTTTATTGTCAGAATGAGTATGACAAGATGAGAATATCATAAAAACATATAAAGTATCTCGAAATCAGGTGAAAAAATACAAACATTTACGCCAGCGTGGACCGTAGAAAGCAAAAATATTTGTGGGCAACATGGCACCAGCACCCACACTCCAAATCGCACACTGCCATAAACACCTGGCAGCCTGCAGGGGACCAGCAGGCTCCAAACCGCACACTGTCTGGCAGCAACACACTGCAGCAGCACCAGCAACCAGGCTCCAAAGCGCACATGGCCATACACATCTGGCGGCGGCACCCGCCCAGGTTCCATTCGCACACAGGCACCCTATTTGAAGTAAGAACTTCAATAGCTCAAGAATAAAAGAACGTGCCAATTAATGTTTCGCACTTTGGGCATTGGCATTGCTTGGCATTGCATCAAGCAGTGAGTTCAGGAGGGCTCAAAGAGCGAGGCCTGCACAGGGCGCTGAAGCACACAGCCTAACCAATTTAGTCGAATTAAGAAAAGATGATAACCAGTTGTTTTTAATCCACGCCTTCTGCACTGCAGCTCAGAAATTTGTGCCCGCAAACGTGCAGCCACAGCTGGAGATGACGTTTCATGCACCTGTGCCTGAAACAGCTGAGAACCATTGGTGCCAGGCTCATAGTCCCATATAGTTGGTCCCCAGTGTCTTCCGGGCTCAGGCTCATTCAGGCTCTGATGACAAGATCTAGAAACTATATCGAATTGGGGCAACTAGTAGCAACTGCTCAAACGCTCTGCCAAAATAAGCCTGACGATAAAAGTTGAGTTGTGCCTGCCTCCATCTCAAGAAGGACTTCTGCTTCTGAGGAGTCATTCTGATGCAGGTTGAGGCAAAGTAAGTCGAGAATTGTAGCAGCCATGAGAATCCTTACCTCTCGCCTCCTCCATCAGAAATGCCAACATCTCTACTTCATGTTCAGCCTGCTCACAAGGAGAAAATTGAAAGAGGGCATAAGGACGTGAAAGAGCGTGAAAATCAGTCACCATGGCATGCTATGGCTGCCCTGTGTTCCGCCGCCTTGCTCCCTTCAATCGAGGGATAAGTTATCCCGATGATAGATAAGGGACAGGGGACCAACACCTGTGGATCACTGGGCCATAATTGTTGACCAATACCAAAAAAAATTACCCGTAAGACAAGCGGGTTCAAAGGGCACGAAGAGCAGAAGATTGAGAAAGGTTGGAAGAGCCACTTGAATAGAAACACGATATACCCTCACTGTACCTCAAAGAATTTTGCATTGATTGAGTGAGGTTTGGAGCTTCGGAAAGCCCAGCCTCTATGATGGTTCTTTCCCGAGGCTTCACATAGCCTGAAGCTTGCGTCTAGGATAAATATATAAAACATGCATAAATCTCAATTCAAGACCAACACAACCACACAAACCCTGCCTTCCCTCGCAGCAGTCTCAGCCTGCAGTGGTGTATGCCTAGTATGCTTTTGCCACATAATTTTCTCGTCGCCCACAAAGCCTCCACCCTGAGCTTGGCCGCCTTCAGCACCACGTTGACAAACTGGCCCCAGCTTTCACAAGATTCAATTGCAAAGGTTCTTAAGAAGCCAAGTGTTCACTCAGATTGATGAGACACTAGCGATGGCCTCCAACCTACTAGCGATGGCCTCCAACCTATGAGCGAACCAACCTAATAGCGAAGGATTATAGGATCTTCATTGCATGGAAGTGCTCCCTTTTGATCCTCGTTGACAAGAGCTTGATGAGCTCGATACTCGTGCCAGCTCAGTGTGGGCTTCGGCAACTTCACATCATGACATCCACCACATAATCATGTGACATCCATTGGACATCCATGAAACAAACTATGATCCGTCTTCATATCCGTTGCGCAGTGCAAAGAGCTGCTCCACACCAAAGTCCGTCTGAACAAAGACCTTCACTACATTTTTTGACCTTGAAAACATTGAGGTTCACTAATCTCCACTGCTGTGCAGAATTTTGGCCCTTCGGTAAACTTCTGATTGTCTCCGGAATGGCATTCATAGAGTCCCCAAGTGTTGATATCCTAGGCTCTCACTCTGCGCTTCGCTGTGAACGGCACTACATCAGCGCTTGCGACTTAGGCAACGGCCTCATCTGACCAGGTGTCCAAGCAGGCCATGGACTCAGCCTGCTTCAGCTGACTGTTCTCGTAGATGAAGAAGGCACAGTCACCCTCGATTGTGGCAAATGAACAAAGTGGACTTTAATCAAGTCGCAATGTATATGAACAGGTCAATACATTCAATAGGCTTTCCAAGTTGTACACTTCAACCCTCTTCGTGAGTGACATGAATTCGCGGCAGTCCTGTGCATCCACAAACTGGGCATCACTGTCCAGGCATTGTGTTCCTCCCGACCAAAAGAGCTTCCAGCAACTTCGGCCTCCAAGAGCTACAGAACAATAAAGCTTCCAGTGTGCAATCACTTTGGTTCATGGTTCAAATGTGCAAGCAACGATGATGAAGAATCTTGGAAAAGACGGCAGAACTCGCACCAAACATTTGCTTCCTGGTTTCAGATTCCAGAACCTCCTCATGGCAATTCCTACTTGCATTGACACGGGTGCAAAGGCATCATCAATGTTCCCTGTCAATTGACAGCATGTTGCAATGATGTCCAAGTCAACTGCAGTTTGATGTTTGAAGGCATTTTGGTAGGGTTTGCCTCAATTGCAGCCCTGGGGTGGTGGCATCATGCAAGCTTGGTATGCAGATTGAATACTAATTCGTTCACATCAACTTATGGTTACAAAAGCTTTCTGGCTGGTGACCCGGGAGATTTTCTTGACCGACCTTAATTTCCTGCATCTCGCTACACTGGTTAGTGTGGTTGGATCTTGAGCACTAACAAAACAACATGAGAGCTATATAGTATCTGTGGTTGGTTGTGTTGATCGGCGCACACCTGAACGATCCTGCACACCGTTTGTAACAGCACCCAATGTATACTGCACGCATCCTCACTTGATTGAAATCAACAACCTGTTATTAGCTCTTAAAGATTCTCAAAGTAAGTCTTTCAAGAAAAATGTAGTGAAGATTCAATCTGCAATCGAAGGCTGAAGAGCCACTGTGGACGAACGAACGACAACCTCCTACCAGCAAGACCATGTGTTGCCGATTATCCCAGTTTCTTGTTTAAACTTGAGGAGAGCCTTCGAGCTGATTCAGCACCAAATCTTTTTCACGGTGTTTGTTAGTCACAGATTGGGCAACAGCGAAGAGACAGCAAAAGCATCAGGCAGGTGAGAAGAGAACACACACCCCTACCAGGACAACGGGTTCCATGGGTTCACGCACTTACGGGCTCTGTGCTCCTTTACGGGCTCTACAGGCCTCATAGGCTCTACAGACGCGGACTAGCGCAGCCCAAAAACGAATGTCAAGACAAGAGTTCAGTTGTTGTTCTTGCGGCACCTTATACAAGTTTCAGACGTTGGTTCTGCAGCGGGTTGGTGAGCCTATTTTTACCATCTCTATGACCTCCACTACATGGTCACTACATGAGTAGACCATGCGGCTGCGAGTCAGTTGCATGAAGTAAAACGAAAATGCTATTGTAGTGTGCAAACGCAGAAAGTACTCGCATTATTATATGTGCAAACTCAAACATACATAAATCTTGCCCCTTTCGAACACTCGAAACAAAATGCATCATGTAAAGTTGTTGAGTCTGGTCCATCACCACAAATAGACCACGAGCAAAAGCACAAAAATCGCACTACGAAAGCGACGGTTTCTTAAACTCCCTCTCAACACCCCTTGCAATGGCTCTGCCGCGGAGGGAACCCTTTTTGCTCACCAGTCGGTTCCAATGAAAAAATACACAAATAGAACTAGAACACAATAAACGTTTGAGGTCCTCGATGTTTACGAGCATTTTTGTTTGAGAACTTGAGACCAGAAACGTGCCAGTAGAAGGGAAGCACGAAGGAGGCACAAAATTTTGACTGCGCTGGCACCACCGCTTGGTTCTTACAATTTGTGGTGCAGTTTCGGGTGCAATGTCTGGCATTAATTACGCCAGCATAGACCCCGAATAGCACACTCCAAGTCGTTCGCTGCCATAAACACCTCTCAACGCACCCTGCCGCCGCCTGCACGACACCAACACGCCGGCTCCAAAACTCAAATTGCTACAAGCTTACAAGCATCCTCCAAAGCGCACATGGCACAAACATTTGGCCGGCAGCTTGCAGCGGCACCTTGCACAGCACCAGCGCACAACTTTCAATTCGCACATGGCGGCATGCACAGCAACAGCTTTCTGCAGCGGAACCAACGCCCAAAGGCCAAGCTAGGCCTTGGAGCGGCGCCCTGCAGCGGCACCAGCACTCAGCGCACATTGTCACGCACGCCATACACATGTGGCGGCGCCCTGCTGTGGCAACAGCACAAGTTGCAAAGCGCACCCTGCAGCGGCACCAGCACCCAGGCTCCAAAGCGCACACAGGCATCTCTTCCTATACTTGAAGTAAGGACCCCAATAGTGGGAACAAGCAAAATGCAAGTAAGCCGTAAAAATTACACCGGCATAGACCCCAGATGGAGGGTGTTTAGGTTTAAAGTACGCGCCACGGACGGCTGTCACCGCAGCACAAGACAAAACGCCGATCCAGAGCCAGCACCTGCACCTGCACCAGCATCAGCACGGCAGCAACAACTGCGAAACCCAAACGCCGATCCACAGCCAGCACCCGCACCCAGCATCAGCACGGCAGCAGCACCTCCAAAACCAAAGCGCCGATCAAGAGCCACACCATTGAGAAGCTAAAACCCCCATAGCCTGCAGCTATCTGGGGAACCAATCTATAGCAGCTGCCACTGAGACCTGACTGGGTGAGCAAAGCCCAAGTCTTGTGTTTGCGTTGATTTTGTGCTGGGAACCCTTCCTAAAAAGACTGAGCCAAAAGGACTGGCTGAAAAAGAACCAAAAAGCTGGTGCTCATTTTGTCAACTGTTAAAAACAAAAGCTTTTGCTGACTCTTACTGGCCATGGATTAAATTTGATAAGAGTTGGGATGCAGAACGGATTGCTACACTTCTGTTGCTGGATCAAACATGTCACTGTCCTAAAGGATCAGCCAGCTCCAGGAAGATCTAAGAGGTGTTCAGCGTTGTTTTCTGCTTTGTGCTTGCAGCAACTCTGTCGCCTTGAGCACGGCACTGTTGAACTGTTGGGCGCACTTGCTGCATGCTTGGTTCTGGGCCCGGTACTTCATTATTGACAAAAATCAATGTGTGCTGTGCATCACAGTAGATCTGCCTAAGCAAGACTGTCAGGAATACAAAGGTTGTGTACTGTGGGGTGGTGGCAGCTCGGAATAGGAGGGCTCCAAAACATGGCAGACCACGGTGTTGACTGCTTACAGATAAGTAAACAGGTATTTGTTTTATCGTGTTACTACTATTTGTACCATCATCTACTTGCCGGACTAGGAGAGGGGTGTTACGTGCCCTACGGGCTCCACGGGCCCATGGACTCCGTTCCAGGAGAGGCATGCCGGTCAAAGAAAGCAAGTGGATATCAAAGAGGCTCGAAGGAAGCAGAAGGAAATCGAAAGAATATGGTAGGACAACTGTGAAAGTTTATCCACGGCAGCGAGAAAAGTTGCCGTTTTTAGAGAAAACAGTCGGCCAGGCAAAGGCAAAAGTTTGCAAAAGTTGGGCTTGGGTATATCAGTGTGTATATACATGTTTGTTTACCGTGAGAAGCATCTTAAGAAAGAAGTGTTTAACGGTTTAACGCCCGCCTCGCTCTTTGCATCTTGCTGGCAGAGGTGATTCAGGAGATGCAGCAGATTCTGCATTTAGCCGTGCAAAAACCTCACACTGCGCACCACTCTTAAAGCCAAAGTGAGACATGTGTGTTTGTTCTCATGTTGCAGCTTGCATTCTTGCATGTTTCTCTCATGAATTTCACTCTCGCTCGCCTCAGGGTGATCTCTTTGTGCTTTTCGGTATAGTTGGGTTTCAATGGGCATCGTGGCACTCACCTTGGAAAACCTGCAGAGTGCGGAAAAATAATAAAAAAAGCCCAGGAGGGAGTAGGCCGCTAGGTGAAGAGGTGTAGCAGTGTAGCTAGTAGAAGTAGAATGGTAGCTAGTAGCTACCAGAAAGCTATGGCTACTAGCTACTGGACGCAGGATAGCTCAGGCTTCTCTCCTAGATTTTTAGGGAAACTGAATATTTGGTGCAACTGAAAGGTTCTGGCCTTGCACCACCTTTACTTCTGAACGACACACAAGGAGCCTGGCATTTCCGAAGATTGGACTTATACATGGAACAGGAGAGAAATACCTGGAACGCTTGTGTATTTCTCTCGAAGCACGCCTCCTTTATACCTGGTTGTTGCTGATTGTCAGGCCCAAGACAAGAACTCCCACGCTTCAATTGACCATCCTGAGTGAGCACTTGATGATGTGCTTGAATGATGTTCAAGACGTATACAATTTGCCGCCATGCAACGCTTGTAAGAGACCAAGTTTGCGCAGAGTGTGCTCCCGACAACTCACCTAAATTGCAAAAAATATGCACAAAAACCCTTCATGCTCTGTCTGACCTGCTTCTTCGTCCATCTGTGCAGATTTCGTTTGACAAAGCTTAGCCAAGTGACAAATACTAGTCACAGCCCGACCACCACCCTGGCCGCCCTGAATCATTTCGCATCAATGGGTGATTTGAAACTGCCAACAAGCATGTTTTAACATCTAAAAAAATGTCTCGAATAGCTTCTTGTTCCTTCTAGTGATGCAAGGAGCCCCTAGTAGCGTCCTTGCTCCTGGTAGCGATGCCAGGAGCCCCCAGTAGCGTCCTTGCTCCTAGACATGTCAAAAAAACCTTTAAACTGCCTGGAGGCACTGATCAGTGTTCCATGCCCGCAAGCCACTGCAGCACTTCCTCGCAAAGTGAGACCCAAGAGCTTAGCCAAGCCTTGGAGCCTTGAAGCCTTGGAATTCCTCAAAAAACATTGAAAACATAAGTGCCGCACTTGGATTTCCTCAGCACGGAATCTGTGGAGTGTTGTCTGCTCTGCAGTCCACATGAAAATCGTACAAGAATGCCTTCAAGCCGCCTATCTCGGTTACCCACGTGCCAAAAGAAGCGATGATTGCTCTCATCACACTGTTCTAACCTAGGATGTCTGTATCGCTGGCGCTGCGTCCTCAAAACTATGGCTGTTCAAGCTTTTCATGCATCTATGCGGCTGCACTCCTTCAGTTCCCTGGCCACTTGTGCCTGCAGGTCCAAGGAAGCGCAAGCATAGGCCGCTCTGCTCCTCAAGTACAGTGGCATAGGCTCAAAGTCAAGGAATGTTTCAACCGCATCACCTGGAGTCTTATGGAGTTCCAAAAAAAACAAACAATAAAACTATTAATACATGACATAAGATAACAGTGTCTTTATGGAGTGCCATGGAACCTCACGGATCATGAAGATCTCTGGCGGGATAAGACCAGCATCCTCGTAGACTGCCTTGAAACGCTTCAAGTACCAGGCGAAAGGTCGGCAGCCATTCAGTCGCTTGCGGACGTTCTCAAAAGTGGTCATGTCCTTGGGTATCAATTGCAACTAGGAAGGCGCATAGCCGCACAGCTGACTGAGCTTGGACCTGAAGCTCGGGAAGCTGAGGCCATGTCACCATACCAGTTGGGCCCACCATGAGCTTTACGATTTGCGAAGGCTGGGTAGTCGTCCAACTTGTCGCTAAACTCTTGGAGCCAAGCATGGATGGCCCGTGCCCGATTGAAGATCGTATCTCCAACATGTTTGTACCGCGCAGCAGTCTTTTTTGAATGCGTTCTCCACATATGTGCCACTTGTGCGTGAGGAGCAGCTACAATTTCACCGCCACAAACCCACATCCTGACCCCTTGATCAATGTTCTCACCACCCCATCCCAACATCTTTGCATCGAATCCGCCACTTTCATCCCACCAAAATCTCGACATTCCTGCCAGCCCTCCGGACAACATGCCCATATACATGTCATCAGTGCCTGAGTTGAGCATGAGCACTCAAGTTATCTTGGAATGCTGTCAAAATGCACATAACTCAGAATGCATTCAGAATAAGAGCTGTGTGCACAGTTTGGCCGTGGCGCCACCCCACTTGAAGTCACCATCCCAAGTCAAATAACATTTGGACATACCTCCTCCGCTTCCAATCTGGGTCCAGGTGTCAATATCCAGGGCAGTAATTTGTGGTATCACCATCCGCCGATAGTTCTCTCCAATGAGCCCAAGGAAGTCAAGATGCCATTTGGGCTGCGGAGCTAGGTTGCGGGTTGCAAGCAATTACGATAATTCCAAGCCACAAATGCTCCAAACAAAACACTGAAACTGCTCAAAGCCTTGGTCAGTGTTCTTTTGTAGAATCGACGACAGCAAAAACGGTAAGGCTCTTTAAGCCAAAGTGACCAACATGGCAATCAAAGAAGACGATCACATCACCAGTGGCTGCATCCCCTCCAGTCTTCTTGGCGCCAATAAGGCCAACTGTTTGCTCGTGCCTCTTAATCAATACTTTGAACTTCTTTTGAACATCTTCATTCAAGTGCGTCGCCGAAAGAGGCGGATTGCCTGGGCTTGATATAACATTCCAAGCAGTCAGACAATGGACTGTCAAGTCATTGCTCAGATCTTTGTTGCGAAAAGGCTTTAACTGTAGATTAATGCAATCGCTTGAGGAATGCAAACCGTGGCTCTGCCATCATCCACCACCACGATTTCGTGCAGCGCTTCAGGGGGTGTTGTGTCATAGACGGACTTGACGGTTTTGAACTCGGCTATTCATTATTGTGCGTGTTCAACTCGGCATCTTTGCAAATTGTCTGCAGAAAAGTCGCCGCCAAATCACGCTCTTCTGCACACGGAAGGACCTCGGTGGCCAGTACTATATAATTCACTATTGCACCCACAGGGCCTCCTGGATCTTACTGGTGCTGAACATTGCGACTCATGCAAGGAAGGAAAGCAAACAAGACTAGGTGCAAAAATGCTTGGACAGCTTTTGTTACAAGGAGGCGTTTTGCTTGAGGAACAAAATGTCTAGTCGATGGTCTGGTTTTGCTACAAAGCTTCATGAATTTGCTCCTACATAGTCGATCCATGTCGATCCCCTCCTGGTGAGGGCAAATGCCTTACCGCACAGCGGTGTGAATGTGGATTAAAACAGAAACCTAACATTCAAACAAGCTGACAATAAAGTTGCACAAACTAGAAAAACAAGTGGGTAGGATTTATGCGCTAGTGGGTGCGCGGTGCGTAAAAAGCCACGGAGGTTGGATGCATCTCATTGTCATTGACTTCTCAGAAGTCGCCTGAGTCTAGGAAATTTGATTTTGAAAAAGGGGTCTACAAATGGGGGACGGGATTGCTTGACGACAAGCTTGCTATAGTGCTCTTCTTCATCTGACTATGATATGCTTTCGCGGAACTGCCACACAGCGTCGCTTTACTTTCAAAAGTGTCAGATTCGAGAAAGGGCAACATTTTCTCACAGGCTCGGGAAACCATACATGATAGACTCATCTTCGTAGCAATCACAATGAACCTGAGAATATCAGGCCACCACCAAGAACCAAGAAATCATCTGCCGTGGTGTTGACAACCCACGCACAGCACCGCAGCACTCCCCGCTCCAGCCAACCCCCAAGGCATTTACCACACAACACTCACTTATGGTTTGAGGCTCCGTATAGAAAAGCGTGCTGTGCGTACCGCACTGTAGCCCAATTCACATGACAATATACTTCCAGGGTTCCAAGTATAAACTATAAACACAACTAGCCTTCTGGGTTCTCTAAAAGATCCCTCCAAGCCACATGGTGGGAGACACACAAGGGTGCGCGTATGTGCCATGCGTTCGTGCAGCATGTCTTGCTTCATAAACTCATAGGTGGAAAAATAGGTTTCACACATTTCTCACCAAGCAGCCACAGATATTGTGCGAGGCGACCACTTCAGATCTTCAGGCTCCGCATCCAGCACAAAATTACCCTCGCCAACATACGCAAGAGAAGCTCGAGGAATACTTGGAGGTTCATGGACAGCTTGGGGTTCCGGAATCTGCGGACTCTCAAGCTGGTTGATATAGGCCTCGATCCGGAAGTAAAGCATACGTACAACATGATTGATATAAAGCACAAGTGCAAAGGCATGAAGACTTATAGATGCGCCAAAGTTAGACACGGTCCGTTCTTAAACACCGCCTGTACTAGTACTAGTTACATCATGTTGATGTTAGATCTCTTGAACTGCTAGAGAAGTAAAACAAGAAGCTACTAGGGGCTCCTTACATCGCTACTAGGAGCAAGGACGCTACTAGGGGCTCCTGGCCTTACTACTAGGAACAAGAAGCTACTAGGGGCAAGTTGAACCCAGGCCTTGGAACCACGCATCGCTGGAGCCAAAGAAGCTTGATCATGTTGAACGGGCTCCAGCGGTTTGACAGGGTCAGGCTTTATGCTCTCTTGCAACAGTAAAGACCAAATCCTTGGAGAAGTGCTTGCTGTGCTCGCATGCAAAATGGTTTGAGGGAAAAGGATGGAAAGGGAACGAAGATCTGCCATATTGTTTGAAAGAAGAGACGCGCAGGATCTAGCTAAGAGGGTCTTTCAAAAGGGATATATTTAAGCAAAACATGAAAGAGTGGAGTGAGAGAGGATTCAGCCCAAAGGCTTCGTTTCTGTGCCAGCCATTTTTATGAACCCATGTGGTGCACCCCTAAAACCCGCTCCATACGCGCTGCATACCCTGTGACCACATTCATTCCAGTGCTTCTTTATTGGCCCAAGGGCCTAAGGGGTAGGACCGTGCGCATGCCCCATATCCCAGCTTCAATCGCCCTCCTGGCGCACTTGCAGCCCTGGCGACTGCAGAATGCATAGGACAGCCCATCGAATGAGGAAATACTTCAAAGCAGTACCAGAGGATCGTCGCTTGGGGCTGAGAGTCAGCCAATGATATAAATCAAAAATTGAAGCTGCACTCGATAAAGCCAAACCAAGCCTCAGTAACAATAACTCAATGAAACCTGTGCTACAGATTGGAAAAGCTGTTGACTCAACCACTCAGGAAGGTGCCAGTCTGGGCCTACCCCAGCAATCAGTGTAGCTACCGGAATAGTCCACCTAAGTTCACTTCTCAATGTTGAATAAGCATGTCTGTTACATTTTGGCAGCCCACAGTAGCAACACGCGCAGCAGCAGCTGGGCCATCAAGTTGCATGAGATGCCATTGACTCCGGCACCAACACGACTCGATTCGATAAGTTGTAAGTCCTGTAGCTGGGTTGATCAGTCCTTCCAACTTCGATGCCTGTTTGTGATGACACTGCTACAGAGAAGGGGGCTACAAAGTTCTGCATCCTTTGTCCTGTTCCGTTTCGGTACAGGGTGGTTCTTGGTCTTTGACCTAGCATCTTGCAGCTGCAAACGGTAAGGACAAACAGGTCTTCAAAACGAGTTGAAAGTAAAAGCATCCAAGGTGATCTTCAGCCAACCTCCCCTGCAGGGTGGGAAGACCTTGAGACCAGAGATGCCACGCAATATGCGACTAGGACGCTACTAGGAGCAAAGGACGCTACTAGGGGTTCCTGGCCTTACTACTAGGAGCAAGAAACTAGTATATGCCACCGATTTACTGAGAGCCAGTGAAACTCCTCTGAGAGTCCGTCGGAGTGGACAGCGAAATCGCGCCTGTTCAAATCACTTCAGATTTCACGAGTGCAGGGACCATCAAATCACTGGAAATGCGACGCTTAGGGCTGAGCTGGCAAAAGAGTTGATATTGATCTTTAGCAATCTACAGGTAAACAACGAGTTCAACAAAACACCATCATGTGCTACATGTTAATATCATGTCTACACTCTACACCTCTTGCATGCCTCTTGAGAGAACAAAGAATATCCATCCACCAATCCCTTGGAATGTGGACAAGTGCACAACAAACTGGCTTACTAAATGCCCTTTTTCAAAGAGCTTTGGGAGTTGGAATGTGCTGGCACTTGTCGGCACTGTTTGGGATCGCGCAACGTGGCACGGGAAGGCGGACCATCGAACTCCATCCATTGTTGGCGATGCATTCGGAGCCCGAGATTGCTGGATTGAATGCAAGGCTGCAAGACGCTTGAAGTCAACTGAAGGGCTCTCCAAGTTTGATCTAGAGTACTTGAGAGAGGAGGGGGTGAACGAAAGGTAGCAGGGAATCAGGCGTAATTTTGGAAACACTGGTATTAATGGTATTTACGGTGTTTTGTTAAAAAACGATGGTTTTGAAGTGTCTAGGCTTCAAAAATGGTCGGCGTTTGGAGGCTTCTAAATGGCACAAAACGACGGTATTTACACGGGATTGTGCGCCTTCCCGGCACAAAACCCTGTAAATTGCGATGGTTTTGGGCTGTGTACGCGTCAAAGTGGCCACAAAACACCATAAATGCAAGTGTTTTCATGTGTTTTCAGCTCCTCCTATCTTCAAGAGTGGCCTCAAGTTTTTTTTGTGGCGGAAAGGGCTTTTGCGGTGCTTATATAGAGGCTTCAACGTGGCACAAAGCGACGGTACTTACACGGGCTTCTGCACCTTCCTGCCACAAAGCCCTGTATATTGGGATGGTTTGAAGCTATGTGTTTTTGGCCGGACAGCCACAGAAAACCCTGTAAATTGCGTGGTTTGAGGCCACTCTTGCAGACTGGAGGAGCTGAAAACACTGGTATTTACAGTGTTTTGTAGCTGTTGACAAAGACCCGTGCCAGGGTGGAGTTGAAGGGGGGGGGGGAGGGGGGCACACCCCCCCTCGGCCCTTAAAAGTAAATGTCGGAGGCAATTTCTCAGTGAGATGGGTGTCCACTCTCGTTATAATTCATTGTTGCTAATAAAGCAAAAGGAAAACTCAGTAGCGTAACCGCTACCTTTCGTGATAAAGATTTGCAAAGGAGCAAGGGAAAAATGTAGGTGTCATTGTCATAGTTCTTGCAAACACACTGATGATGCATACAGAGGTAGGTGCATCACCAGCAGCTGAACATGGTGTAGCAATATCTGAAAGTTCTAAATGGCCTGGTCGCGACCAAGTTGATAACATCCTGGCCACTTTGACGTGCAGAAACTCACAATGGAGGCTCGTCGCAACACTTTGCAATGGGTGCGCCGTGCGCGACGCGCCATGCGCCTGGCAGACTCCACAGAGCGTCCTTGCCTCTGCCGTGACTCCAGGGGCATCCTTGCAGCGACACTGCACTTTAACAGACAATAGGAGATGTCAAGCAGCCTTGCTTTTGGGGACTTTATGTCAGCATGAGTACCAGAATGGGAAAAATAAAGTAATACAATTGCAAGTCCCATTTCGCACGCCCACAGTAATCGCAATCAGCGCCCCAGGCAGCAGGAAACACTTTTGGAACTCTCCTTGCTAATGAACAAAATCTATAAAACTGCAAGAATGCATGACTCCCCTCAAAAAAGGTGCCTTCAGCTTTGTCCCATTCCCAATCCAAGAGAGCCTTGTCGGAGTCTTGATTGTTGACACATCCGACCAGGGCCGTATCTGGCGTGCACCTTCTGAAAATTCACCTAACTCTCTCTCTCTCTCTCTTTCTCTCTCTCTCTCTCTCTCTCTTTATCTCTCTCTCTCTCTCTCTCTGTGCTCAAAGAAACTCTAGCATGTCTTACACTATTCTGAAGAACATTTCTAGCACAGCTGCAGTGTGAGATGCGGACTCTTGTCTGTGAAAGGACCTTACTTGGCCGGCGTTCCATACAAATCCATGCTGTGTAGTATCTTCTCACTTGGTGGGCTATCCACGTGAGCATTTTTGGGCTACACGCTTGCAAATCGTGCAGCCATCTTGTTGCCACTGCCCTGAAGAACGCGAGTTTGTCCGCACGTTCTGGCTTTGGAACTCTCATATGAGGAGGCCATCGATTTTAGGTTGGAGGCCTATATGTCTCTATATATATCACACCTGAGAAGGGAGGGGACGAAAACCAGCCTCCATAAGAAGACATCAATATGGCAATGGGGGGCGAAATCGATAACGCACTGGATCCGAAAGACTTGGCGCGCAAGATCAAGTGATTGGCTAACATCGGGCAAAGAGTAGGTACTGTGCTATGGGGCGAGGTCAACATTGCAGCCACCCCGACAGCAGTACATAGGTTTGGGGCGGGTGCCCTGTGCACTCCTGGTTCAAGGGCGTTTTCAAGCTGAAAAAGGCACCCCTAAGGAACTGAAGGGCGCTTGCTAGCTGCGTGTTGCCAAACAGTGAGCAAAGATGGCTGTGGGGCCCATGGGCGAGGCTATCGGCTGGCTTTCGTAGGGGTACATATGTATTTATAGACATATGCATCCTAAGTGATAAACGGAAACGTGAAAAGGTAAAGAAGGAAGTGCACAAGAAGAAACACAAACTTTTGAGGTGGGTGGAGTCTGTTGGACTTCTTTTCCATCAGGTTCAGCCAATGTCTCTGGACAGGTTCGCGCAAACCCGTTGCCCCCTCCTTCCTATCGTCGACATAAAACTGCACCCGAGGTAGAAGACATTCCTCCTCCGCTGCGCCTGTCTCATCCACATGAACTCCCACCCCGATATGGGGTGCCCTTTTGAGTCCGGCAACTAGGCCTCCTCGCCGTTAAAAAAGGGCACCCCCAAATTCTGTTCTCTTTCCTGCCCCCAACAGGCCGCATCAGGACATGAACTCGCACTCCCCCTTTTGCCTATGGTTGACAGGCATCTTTACCATTCAAAAAGGGCACCCCCAAGCAACGCCCAGATTTCTTGCAAACCCTCTTTTCTTGCCCATCCTCCTCCGCTACGCCTGGCTGCCACCTTCCCCACAGAGACGCACCTCCCCCTCACACCTAGTCGAACACTATTTCAATGGCCACCAGACGCACATCTCCCTTTCGTGGAGGAGTTCCATCCACTTTTCACGTCCCGCTGCGCCCTCCTGGTAGAAGACGGTCTACATTGCCTCCTGAGCCCCTCACGATGAACCATAGCGCTCGCGTCTTTTTCGCTCTCCCCCACCAGGCTCTGGGTTAGCCCTCCGAAATTGACCCGTGCGCGACCCCCGCCACACCCCCTTTACTCACTTCGTTCGCCCAACCCAACTTCAGCCTAGCCTATCGGCTGGCTTTCGTGATATACAGTATTTGTATTTATATATATATATGCTAGCCCCCAAAAAAGAACACCTGCTTTTGATTTATCTCGAATCAAGTTCAGTTTTATGTCAAGTCAAATTTAGTTGGCTTATAGTACAATTTATTTGCAATTAGTTTTTGTTTCAGCTAGTTTACATCTTATACAAGTCGATTTCAATTATTTTACAATGGGTGAGTTTGCTGCGCTGGCCTCATGGCGAGCCTGTTTTGTCCTGAAAAAATGACGTCCCTTGGTGTGAATTGTATGTTGACTTCATTGCGCACGCACGTACACTAGCCCCAACACCCATTCCTGGGACTAAGAAGTGTGGGGTCGCTGCTAGGTACGCTTCAATACACAGTCCGCTTGTGTATCATGTCTCTCCCACTTCGGGACGGGGCATCAGCACCTGCGCAATTTGCTTCAAAATGCGTGTTCGCGAAGGGGTCATTGCCATGCCTTTCGCATATTGTACCAAGGCTTTGCCAGCACGCAGATTAGGTTTTTCTGCAGTGAAGCCAGGCATTGTGTCCCAGCCTTCGCTTGTAGGTGGCCTCAATGCTGCGTGCTGGTTTCAGAACACGCTGACCAGCGCAAAGAAAACACGGAACGATTTACCCTTTACGTTGACGACGCCACCGCTTTTTCGTAACTAAGCACCCTGATGTACTTGAATCCGAAACCAGCTTTGCTTTCGTTCGGCCACGCCCTTAGTTTCTTGCCTTCGTGCCTTCCGAGCATTCGTGTTTTCTCGCTGTAAATTGTTCCTGCATTGGGGACCAACCAAGTTGTGCCTCGGAGTCAGATCATTGCAAAGAGGAAAGAAAGAAAGAAAAGTTTTTACTATTCTAGTTTAATTCTGTTTTGATGTCCAATCTAATTGTGACTAACTCCAATTTGCTTTATTTCTAATTCAACGCAAATTGAATTCTCATTTAATTATGCTTTATTCTAGAGAGAGGATGCGGGTTTTGCTGGGGGTGCGATTTTAAGAAGACAACCTTTAAGAAAGCAACACATAAATTATAACATAAATTATATACAAAGTTCCATATATATATAATATGTGTTAATTGGAATTCAATGCAAACTTATTTCTATTGAATGTTTACTTCTCTTCAACTTAACTTCTATGCAGTTTATGTTTAAATCTAATACAATTTTATTCAGTCTAATCTAATGTTTGCTTTTATGCAATTCTAATTTGCTTCTTGTTGCATTTGAATTACACCAGCATAGACCCAGATAGCTAGGCAGAATCCCGACCTGTTGACATGCGACCGGCTGGAACAAGAATGTACGCAGCCTGCACAGCCAGCTTACGGCGCCTGCACAGCGCGCACATTCAGCTGACACCAGCACCGGCGCGCTTTGCCAGCTGACAACACCGGCAGCGGCGCCAGCGCCCGACCAGTGCCGCCGCCCGTCTTAAACGCGCGCTCAGCCAGCTCACAGCAGCAGCACCCAGGACCACAACACCGGCACCCAGCACCAGCGCCCAGCACCGGTATACCCCGGCACTCAGCACCCGGCACCCTGTCTCCACCAAGTGGACAGGCAGCTCACAGCACTGGCACCCGGCACCCAGCACCAGCACCGGCACCAGCACCCTGTCTCCACCACGTGCACAGCCAGCTCACAGCACTGGCACCCGGCACCCAGCACCAGCACCAGCAACCTGTCTCCACCACATGCACAGCCAGCTCACAGCGCCAGCGCCGGCACCCAGCACCAGCACCAGCACCCTGTCTCCACCACGTGCACAGCCAGCTCACAGCACCAGCACCGGCACCCAGCACCAGCACCAGCAACCTGTCTCCACCACGTGCACGGCCAGCTAGCACCAGCACCGGCACCCAGCACCAGCAACCTGTCTCGAAAGCGCGCACGGGCAACTCATTGTTAATTGAAGTAAGAACCCCATAGCTTCGCTATCTGGGGGAAAATGAAAGCTTTTCATATAACTTATGCGTTGCTTTCTTAAAGGTTGATTCTTAATCACACCCCCAGCAAAACCCGAACCCTCTCCCTAGAATAAAATCGTAATTAAATGAGAGTTCAATTTGCATTGAATTAGAAATAAATTTGCATTGAACTAGAATCGAACTAAAACTAAATTAGAGTTAATCAAAATTAAATTGGACATCAAAAAGAATTGAAGGAGAATTGTAAAACAACTGAAATTGAAATGTATAAGATTTAAGCTAGCTGAAAATAAAATGAATTACAAAAAATTGAAATATAAACACAACTAAAATTAACATAAAACTCAAATTGAACTAACTTCGAGATAAATCAAAAGCAAATTAGATTAGAATTGGAATTAAACTAAGATTGAATCAAAATTGCATTGTTTCAAGTAGAATTGGGTTAGAATTAAGATAGAATTGAATTAGAAGTGCTTAACCTGCAACTCGATTAGAGTTCAATTGCTGTAATAATGAATTAGGGTTAGACTTGAATGAGAATGACAATTAAAATGACATTTACAATAGAACTAAATTAGAATTAAATCCAGTTCGAATTGATTTAAAATCAAATTGGAGATTGAAACTAAACTTTAAATTAGAAATCAATTAGATTCAAATTTGAACTCAATCAGGTTCAAAATTTGAACTCAATCAGGTTCAAATTCGAATTTAAAGAATTAAGTTAGACCTGAGTAATAAGTAAATTAGAGTTTGATAGAATTCAATGATATTTATAAGGTGTCTTTCATGAATTCAGTTCAATGTTGGTTTAAAATAAGCTGAAATTGTAAAACCCTTAAGTAGAATTGAGTTATATAGATCTAAATTTGAAATCCATTGGAAATAAATGAAAATTCATACAATGAAAAATTGCATATATTTAAATTCAAATCTAAAGCAACTTCCAACAAATTTATACAGGTTGTGCAAAAGCCCAAAGGACCAAAACACGGACAAAACACAAAAAAGAACTTTGAAGAGGATGTGTGGTTCAGCCTCAATTTACTTTTTTTGTTTTCCGTGTGGTTGTTTGTTTTGAAATCCAAAAAACAAAAAGAAACGCGTTGTTTGTGGTTTTTGAAGGTTTAGGGTACTAGAATACGGCCAAAAACAAAAAACCATGTGTTTTTGGTTTTTCCCCAGATAGCGAAGCTATGGGGTTCTTACTTCAAATAATTCTCCAGATAGCGAAGCTATGGGGTTCTTACTTCAAATAACAATGAATTGCCCGCGCGCGCTTTCGAGACAGGTTGCTGGCGCTGGTGCCGGCGCTGGTGCTGTGAGCTGGCTGCACACGTGGTGGAGACAGGTTGCTGGCGCTGGCGCTGGTGCCGGGCGCGGGTGCTGGTGCGCACGTGGTGGAGACAGGTTGCTGGCGCTGGTCCGGGCGCCGGTGCTGGTGGTGGCGCTGTGAGCTGGCTGCGCACGTAGTGGGGACAGGCGCTGGCTGTGCACGTGGTGGAGACAGGTTGCTGGCGGTGCCGGGCGCCGGTGCTGGCGCTGGTGCTGTGAGTTGGCCGTGCACGTGGTGGAGACAGGTCGCTGGCGCTGGTGCCGGGTGCCGGTGCTGGTGCCCGCTTCTGACAGTGAAGTGATAACAACCGCCGCTTCTGACAGTGAAGGGTAACAAACCGCCGCTTGCAGCAGTGAAGGGCGACCAAACGCTGCTTCTGACAATGAAGTGCCAACAGTCATGGGCCGCACAAACTTATGCACGCAACATCATACGGTGTTGTCGCTTGAGCGCTCTTTGTCCATTAGTGCTGTGGGGTGTTTACAGTTCTGTTTTGGCTGGCAGCTGTGTCAAGGGCTGTACTGTTTGCGCGCATACTTTTCTACGTATAATGTGTTCTATGCGCAACGTCAGGCTCTCAACCGACCATTGTTCCAGCATGTTTCAGCATGCTACACACACACACACACAATAGTCGTGCTGGATACTGCTTGGCCTTGGGCGAGTGAAGCCTACGGGCTTTGTTTGCCGTTTGCGCGCATACTTTTGCGCGCGCAAACTTTTACGCGCAAGGTCATACGGCCTTATCGTCCTGCAGATCGCTGCGTCAAGCATGCTAGAAAGTCAATAGTGGCGCTGGATACCGCTTGGCCTTGGGCCAATGACACTTACGGGCTTTGCTGTTTGCACGCATACTTTTGTGCACGTAAACATACATGCGCAAGATCATACGTTGTTATTCCCCAAATAGGGATAGCTATGGGGTTCTTGCTGCAAATAACAATGAACTGGCTGCGCTTTCGAAAGAGTGTCGGTGCTGGTGCTGGTCTTGGGTGCTGGCAGCTGGCTGAGCGCGTTTTTAAGACGGGGAAGTGCCACAAGCTGGCTGCGCAGGCTGCGTGCATTCTTGCTCCAGCCAGTCGCATGTCAACAGGTCGTGGGATTCTGCCTAGCTATCTGGGTCTATGCTGGTGTAATTCAAAAAACAATGAGTTGCCCGCGCGCGTTTTCGAGACAGGTTGCTGGCGCTGGGCGCCGGTGTTGGTGCTGGTGCGGTGAGCTGGCTGCGCACATGGTGGAGATAGGTTGCTGGCGCTGGTGCCGGGGTTCCGGTGCGGGCGCTGGTGCTGTGAGCTGGCTGCGCAGGCGGAGACAGGTTGACGGTGCCGGCGCTGGTGCTGGGCGCTGGTGCTGTGAGCTGGCTGCGCACGTGGTGGAGACAGTTTGCTGGCGCTGATGCTTGGGCGCTGGCCGGGCGGCGCTGGCGCTGGTGCTGTGAGCTGGCTGTGCATGTGGTGCGCGCAGGTTGCTGGCGCTGGCGCTTGGTGGCGCTGGCGCGGGCGCTGGTGGCGTGAGCTGGCTGTGCGCGTGGTGGAGACAGGTTGCTGGTGCTGGGTGCCATATGCCGGCGCTGGTGCTGGCGCTGGTGCTGTTGGCTGGCTGCGCACGTGGTGGAGACAGGGTGCCAGTGTTGGTGCTGGTGCTGCGCTGGCTGCGCACGTGGTGGAGACAGGTTGTTGGGCGGCGCGCGCCGGCGCTAGTTCTGGCGCTGCGCGGGTATGTTGGAAGTGAGTGGGCTGTGGGGTCTAGATCAGGGCTATGTTGAAGGCTTTGCTGCTGTTACGCTACTTGTTTTGCGGCCATGTTGGTCCACTTGGATGCTCTTTCTCTGCGGTTTGACTTGGGCAGGTGGTCTTTTGCGTAGTGCGTGTAAAACACAAAAAACATGAAAAATGCGGTCCGACAAGTGTAAGAAAGTTTGTTTTGAGAGTTTTTTGGTCGTTTTTGTTGCTTACGAAAGCTTGCTCCAATGGGCGGTCAAATTTGGGGCATGCTCTTCGGGGATTTTGGCGCATTCTTGGCGTATCCTTTTCCATATTGGAGCACTCCACCCAATGTTGGGGCTCTCTTGAGGCTTCTCGTGGAGGTATGTTGGAAGTGAGTGGGGCTGCGGGGTCTAGATCAGGGCTATGTTGAAGGCTTTGCTGCTGTTATGCTACTTGTTTTGCGGCCATGTTGGTCCACTTGGCTGCTTTTTCTCTGCGGTTTGACTTGGGCAGGTGGTCTTTTGCGTAGTGTGTGTAAAGCACTATAGAAAATTATGTACCGTGCAAAATGAGGTCCGACAAATGTAGGAAAGTTGGTTTTGACAATAATTGTTGGTCGTTTTTGTTGCTTATGCGGGCTTCCTCCAGTGGGTGGTCAAATTTTGATGCATGTTTGCGCCAATCTTCGGCGATCTTGGTGCTTTCTTGGGACATACCCTTTGCCATATTGGCACATTTCACCCAATGTTGGGGCTCTCTTGAGGCTTCTCGTGGAGGTATGTTGGAAGTGATTGGGGCCGTGGGGTCTAGATCAGGGCTATGTTGAAGGCTTTGCTGCTGTTATGTTACTTGTTTTGCGGCCATGTTGGTCCACTTGGCTGCTTTTTCTCTGCCCCGTTTGACTTGGCAGGTGGTTTTTCCCCACCTGCCAGGTGAGGGTTGTTAGATTTTATCACAGTTGTTCTTCCTCTTCCTTCCTTCCTTCCTTCCTTCCTTCCTTCCTTCCTTCCTTCCTTCCTTCCTTCCTTCCTTCCTTCCTTCCTTCCTTCCTTCCTTCCTTCCTTCCTTCCTTCCTCCTTGCTTCCTTCCTCGCCAACCTCCTCGCCAATGTTCATCGCCAATCTTCATCGCCAATCTTCTTCGCCAATCTGCTTCGCCGATCTGCTTCGCCGATCTTGTCTGGCAAGCTCCGGATCGCAGTGTGCACCCCTGGACATCAACCGCAAGGATCCGATCGCAGTGTGCACCCCTGGACCTCAACCGCAAGGATCCGATCACAGTGTGCACCCCTGGACCTCAACCGCAAGGGTCCGATCGCAGTGTGCACCCCTGGACCTCAACCGCAAGGATCCGAGCGCAGTGTGCACCCCTGGACCTCAACCGCAAGGATCCCCTCGCAGTGTGCACACCTCGACCTCAACCGCAAGGATCCGATCGCAGTGTGCATCCCTGGACCTCAACCGCAAGGATCCGATCGCAGCGCGCACCCCTGGACCTCAACCGCAAGGATCCGATCGCAGTGTGCACCGCTGGACCTCAACCGCAAAAAATCCGATCGCAGTGTGCACCGCTGGACCTCAACCAGATTGTTTGCCAGATAAAGTGCCAGATAGAATGCCAGGTAGATTGCCAGATAGAATGCTGCAAGAAGGTATGCCAGATAGTATGCCAAAGAGTGTGTCAGATAGATTGCTAGATACATTGCCAGATAGAATGCCAGAAAATATGCCAGATAGAATGCCAGATAGAATGCCAGATAAAATGCCAGATAGAATGCCAGAAGATATGCCAGATAGAATGACAGATAGTATGCCAGACAAAATGCCAGATAGTATGCCAGACAGTATGCCAGATAGTATGTCAGATAGATTGCCAGATAGAATGGCAGATTGAAGGGCAGAAAGTATGCTAGATAGTTTGCCAGATAGAATGCAAGAAGATATGCCAGATAGAATGCCAGGTGAAACAGTCTCACGCAGTCTCAACCACAACCACAATCACAACCTCAGAGACACAACCACAACCACAACCACAATCACACAATCACAGAGACACAACCACAACCACAACCACAATCACAAACACACAACCACAAACACACAACCACAAAAACACGACCACAAACACACAACCACAAACACACAACCCCAAACACACAACCCCAAACACAGAAACCACAAACACACAACCACAAACACACAAGCACAAACACACAAACACAAACACACAACCACAAACGCACAACCACAAACGCACAACCACAAACACACAACCACAAACACATCCACAAAACACACAATCACAGAGACACAACCACAACCACAACCACAAACACATCCACAAACACACAATCACAGAGACACAACCACAACCACAACCGCAAACACACAATCACAAAGACACAACCACAACTACAAGTACAAACACACAATCACAACCACTACCAGTACCACAAACACAATCACAAACACACAGCCACAAACACAACCACAAACACAATCACAAACACACAGCCACAAACACAACCGCCAACACATCCACAAACACACAATCACAAACACAGCCAGAAACACACAATCACAAACACAACCACAACCACAAGACAGCACACAACCACAACCACAACACACAACCACAGCACACAACCCGAGGACCCACAAGCAAAATCGAGAACTACAATACTCACGACCATGGCAACATGCTCATCACTATGGCATCAAGGCAAATGATTGACATGTCATGGGGGGGATCACTCGAAGTAAAGTAATTTGCGTACTGTGCGTAAAACGCCATAAATCCATGAAAATGAGGTCCGACGAGTGTAAGAAAGGTGGCTTTGACAGTTTTGTTTGTCGTTTTTGTTGCTTACGAAAGCTTGCTCCAGTGGGCAGTCAAATTTGGGGCATGTTTGCACCAATCTTCGGCGATCTTGGTGGATTCTCAGGGCATATCCTTCTCCATGTTGGCACGTTGGGGCTCTGTTGAGGCTTCTCGTGGAGGTATGTTGGAAGTGATTGGGGCTGTGGGATCTATGTTGAAGGCTTTGCTGCTGTTATTTTACTTTTTTGCGGCGATGTTCGTCCACTTGGCTGTTTTTCTCTGCCGTTTGACTTGGGCAGGTAGTCTTTTTGCGTCATGTGCGTATAACATCGTAAAAACCCGACAGACTTAGGTCCGACAAGTGTAAGGTTATATACTTGTTTTCTCTGCCGTTCGGCTTGGGCAGGTGGTCTTCTGCGTAGTGTACGTACAACACCGTTAAAGCCATGAAAAAAGAGGTCCGACTACCCAGCAATAAAATGCAGCTGCTCCGCTTTCCGTGTTTTTCCGAACTGGTTTGCAGACACGAACTCACGCCTCCGCGCGGTAGCCCACAGCTTTGCCCAAGTGGCTACCAGGACTGGAACACAAGGCAACGCAGAAACACAGCAAGTGCTGGCTTTGAAACAAGGAAAGGGGCCGTTACCTTCCTTTAGTCCTTTGGATTGTCGGTTCTTTAGAAGACTCTGCGGGGGCCTAGAAGTCACCGACCGAATTTCAGCCTCGGAAGTTGGAGAGCTCAACTTGGAGAGTCCAAATCAAGAAAACTAGACTAAGTTGGACATGGAAGTGAAACAAGGCTAGTTTGTTTCACCTTTCTCTTGGACTCTTGTGTATTAAAATCGTTCAAATTGCTTTGAAGGCGAGTTGAAACTCGCCTGCAACTCCATGTCCTCCCGACGAGTTGGAACTCCTTTTGACTCCTGGCGTGTTATTTGCTTGAGGCCGAAGCTCCATTTCTCTAGTTTCAAACACAATCATTCAAGGCACACCGCACGTCTTCTCCAAACTTCACAATCGCCTTGCTTACGCACCAAAGCCTAGCAGTCAGTACGCGCTGGTTCCAGAAGCCTGCAGTTACAGTTACTTGTTCAAAGTACCTAGCTCTGGTAGGAACCTCCCGCCATTCAGCTGCCGTCTGTTGCAGCAGTACATAGCGTTGTCGGACCTAAAGGAGCATCTGTTGAAATCCGAAGAATTCCAACTTGGCAACGACATCCAAAGCAAATTGATACCAAAACTGACTAGCTTCTCTGAGAAAGCATTCCCAATTGAAACAAAAACCTGAAACCATTGTGACTCAGCATCTTTCACCATCTATGGCCTCTAAAAAATGTTGAGTGTCATTGAACCCCTGAGTTTTGCTCACATAATTGCTCTGAAGCTCCGTGCAGCTTGCAGTTCCGCTTCCCTGGCAGGAGCCCCTGCCTGACCAGCCAAGAAGGTGCACGACAACGCAGCACTCTTTTGGCTTGGAAACTGAACTTTGCGCTTGGCTCGAAAATGCATCCACGAACGCCACACGCGTGGCTTTGGAAGTATGTACACGAAAGAGCGGCGGCTAAGCAGCATAAAGGTGGACTCGACTGTCTTTGCAGGTAATCGCTCAGCTTGGCAAATTGCCAAGCGCATTCATAATCTACCAATAGGAGTGCTGCTCTTTTCCATCTTGCCCTCATTCATCTTGATCTGAAGGATCTTGCAGATCATCGCGTCTAGCTAGCAAGATCACATTTCCATCTGTGCCTTGAAAAGCGCCCTGTACAGGGAATCCAAGTGCTCTTAGCATTGCCAGCATACGTTGACGTCTGACATGAGGTCGATCTTCTTCTTCCTCAGAGTCGGAGAAGTCCGTTGGCGTCTGGAGCAACTGTGCCTGTGATTGATTCTCTTCTGTGGGCTCGGTTGCCTCACTTGAAACATTTGCTTGATTCTTCTTGACACGTTTGTAGTATTCAGGGCGGGATGGAAACTCTTGACCATCAAACGAAAAGTATAGTTCAGCACGCGCTGCTGTTGAACTTTCAGGCTCCAGCCAAACCGATGAAACTCGACGGCCCCAAGATGTTGTAGAAACGTGCTCTTTGGACACGCCAAGTTCGACCAATTCCTGGACTACAGAAAGCGCCCTCCGCCTCGAGGTGCTTGTGGCAATACCTCGTGGTGCACCTGCTCCAGCATGGGCATCCACATGGAATTTGAGTCGCGGATGTTGTTGAGCGAAGAGCGCTGCCGCATGTATGAGCTTCTTTGTTTCCTCAAGCAAGCTCAACCCTCCACCATACTCAAAGTACAGGTGATTTAAGCTGCCAAATGCGCATACATCAGAAACCTTCAGTCCGACAGCTAGCTGCTCCAGATTGGTGCATCCTTTTGCCCAGGTTAGGCCATGATCACAAAAGTCCTGTGCTCGGCGCTCTGCAAATCTCCGAGAAAAAACCAGCCTGTGTAAACTCGTATCTGCGTACCCAAGCCTCAGTTCAACATGCATCCAGATATGTTTTTGTACATATATATATGATATGGTTATATATATGAAGGATTATGAAGGCGTGTTGAATACATATAAACAAATGAAGGTGTTTGGAATCCAGAAAGGATGTTTGAATACAAGCGCATCGGACAGCCTGTAGCTACAATCATGCATCAAAACTGTTCAGGGAAGCAACCGTGCCAGTAGGGAAGGGTTGCAGCAGGCAGATCCCAATGCATCTGCAACATCTGGCAAGGCAAAGCAAGAAGCTGCAAGGCCTGGGACTGATTTGAAGAGAACTGGATTCCAAAAAAAGAACACCAAACCACACTGTTCAAGAAGCAAGAATACAACATATATCACATAACAAAACATGTCTTTGGGACATACATGTATACAGGAGTCATCACAAGTCGAACGGCTGCACAAGCAGGTGCATGTGTCACATATGCAGCCTCCAGGCGAAGAATCGCGACAGCTAAGCTTCTCGGGATCGAGAATCGGAAGTGATGGATAGCCCGCGCTGAAGGCCATTGCGGCAGGATCACTGTGACCGTGACGACAACAACTGTTCTGTTATGTGATGGAAATGATGTTTCTCATTCGCAGGTGACTTACTGTATGTGCTACATGTTTGATCATTTTGTGGAGCTGGCTGGGTGGCGGCTTCCCGGATACAGTAGGAGAAGCAGAACCACTGGAACCTCTCTTTATCGCAGGGAGTGAAGCAGTTCTCGGCCTCAGCTGCTCGTAGGGCCTCCAAGCGGACTGCCAATTCCAATGCCTCAAACTTTGCAGGGCTGTCAACTGGTCCAAAAGATCAAGCGCTTCCAGTCTACATCATCTAAACAAAATGCCAAGTTGTAGTTTCCTGGCTCTAGTATGTGTCTGTGTGTGCTCACCCATTTAACAGTCCCAGTGTAATGGGGAGGGCACTCTGGGTGTCCAGGCTTCTTGGCGAGCTTCGCCGTGCTTCTTGGCCAAGCGTGCATTCTCCCTTTGCCTGCATAGGTTCCTTTATTTCGATGTGAAGTACCACAAATCCCTCTTTTCCGGCATCCCCTGCCTGAGGCAAATTTCTCGCACAGCGTCCTCTAGTTAAAACTGGAGACGCAAGTTTAGGCCACGAAAACTTGCAGCTGTTATGTAGACAAGAGTCAGCAACTGGTCGGAGCAGTATTGCTTAAAACTTCCGTTACTACACTGCTTGACTTGTATTCTTGCCTGATGCTCTCGCACGTAAACATCTGCCTGGCCAATTGGACCGCACTGCACTGTGTAAGAGGTGCAGGTCAAGTATCAAGGTCGTTTTGTGAAATCTTGCCACTTTCGCTCCTGCCACCTTGCAGCTCCCAAGGCTGATCTCAACTGATCAATTTCCTCCAGGGCACTGCCCAACAACACATAGTGGATTTAAATAAATGAACGATATGAACATGACGTTTTTTTTAAGCGGCCTCCGTTCCAACGCGCTTCAGCTCATCAATCTGTGCCCGTGAGAGTGATGCACAACAGAGCTTTCTGGTGGGCACCGTGCATGGTCTTACTATTGCTTTCTGCAGGCTGTCTTACTATTGGCAGAGGAGCTGCAGGACCTACGAAAGAATCACAAACCCGACAAGATTCAGACTGCAGATCCCATGTTTAATTTTTGTGAACATTCACTCGATGTTACGTCATGGTTCTTTTTGATTTTTTGTTTGACTTGTCTTTTCTGCATGGCTTCTTCAATCTGTTTGGGAGGCTTTGGAAGAAGCAAAACACACCGTCCTTCCCTTGAGGAAAAAGACACCAGAAGGAACAAAAGAAAGTGTGAGCAGCAAGCTTCTAGGGTGAATTGTCTGATACCTGTTTGGCCTGACCTCTGTTTTTTGGACGCAGTACACGTTGTGATTGCATGTTCTTCTGCTTTAGCCATACCGACGGATTGATCAACATTTTTTCTGGTTTGAAGGTTGAAAAGGGTTTGCTGATGAGGGATGTCTTCACAGCGAGTCTTGGCCTCTTCATGCCCATCCTTCTTAAATGGTTTTCTGGGACTTCTAGGTGTGTCGCTTTACTAGGCTGCTGGTTTTACCCTTTAAAATGTATTGGTTTCTCATATGTCAAATTATATACTTATATACATATATATATATATTCCTGCAGCCCCCACAACATGCTGCCCCTTGATATGTGTGAAACTGTACATCTGACCTGAATTTGTATTGCTCGCCTGCTCTGCCTTGGACCGCTCGAGCTCAGCGACCTCATCATGTAGACCGTAGAACTTGAGCAGTGTCATTCTTCTTTTACTACTTTTGACGTTTAAGGGATTCGTGTTTCCTTTGTTTCCTCCTTTTCTCTCGAAACATATCTCATGCTTGCAGACCCCACACCGCCTTCAAAGCATGTCCGCATCTCAACTCCTCCAACTCCTTTAAAGGAAGGAAAAGACACGAGTTCACACTCTCGGACATAAATCTAGCATAGTAACAAGTGCATCGCTACTAGTAACAAGTGCATTACTACTAGTAACAAGAAGCTACTGGTATATAGCGATGCACTTGTTACAGTACTAAGTTTGTCAAATCTCTTCCAACATCACACAACGAAGGCACACAACCGTCGATGGGGTGGAATACACAAACACAAAAACTGCCACTTGGCTCATCCCAACTCAGTGCTGTAGACAAACACTTGTCTTCTTTGGAATCACTCCTCGGTGTGCAAAGCCTTCAGAAGAGCGACCTTCGCGAAACGGGTGTTCCATTGGCGTTCTAGCTGTTTTCTCTACATTTGCTCCCAAAAGTCCTGCGCAATAAGTTTCAATGCTATAAGACGAATGTAGGGTTCACCAGGGTTTGAGTAAACAGTTTACGGTTGGTTGAAAGCTTCTTGCCGAGGACCTCTTCAGTGTGCGAAGCTTCCAACTGCGCAATGGCTCCAGCACACTCCGCCTGGTCCCAGTTATATACATGGTTAACTTCTGCTTCAAATGTGATGCTTGCACAATCAAGAATGTAAAATACACAGAAGAAACAACGAGTAGTGTGACGTATTGGTTCTCCCAAGAAGCTCCGGAGTCCGGAGGTTGAGTCCGGAGGTTTCCTGTTCACAAGTAGTACATGTGTACATGTTGCTTCTCCCACTCTTCATTCTAGAAGAAAACCTCCAAGAAGCGCGCCTCGTCGTCTTCAAACTCGGAAAGTTTTGGCAAGCCTGGACTTTGCGCAACTTGCACTTTGAGCGCCGGCACATCAGCAGTCACGCACTCCCGAACAACAGCAGTCAAACACTCAGCCTTCTTCAAGTTCCTGCTTGCATGCAGCCAAGTCCTGCTGCAATCTCACCAAGTCTTCACTACAGGCCTGACAAAACTGGCAAGGCACAATTGATTATGAAGGATTGCTTAAACATCATGTCTTTATAAACTTTATAGATCACAAGCTGTTTCTTGATTGCTTTATGAAACGGAATGAATTCCTGTCAAAAGATTCAAAACAATGAATTCCTGCCTGAATCTGGGTGCGCAAAACCTCTGCCTCCATGAAGCGCGCGATGACCGGAGCACCCTCTTCACGAAACTGCTTTACTTTGGCCTTGATCAATCAAGTGTTGACAAAGCTTGGTTTACTTTGGCAAACCAAGCTTTAAAACACAAAGTTTACTGTATTCTACTATATAGAGTGTTCAGCTTGTTTGAAAATATAGACAGTTCTTCGCAGGAAGGTTCCAGTTGGGTTTTCAGCTTGCCAGGTTTTCAACATGTGGTGTTTGGCCTGGATGTAGTTTCGTACTTGGTATATGTTGTTCGGGAGGGTCATACACATGCACCAGTCTGAGATCTCTCTCGGATAATTAGCAGTCTTGGTAAACCGCATGCGTGCGCCACGCACCATCTTTCCTGTATTCAGGGTGCCAGAGGGAGCTGGTACATAGACGTGTCAGCTGTTGCCGTACTGAAGCCAGTTCCAGCCCGCACAGCATAGGGTGGATTCTGCATGCTAGCAAAGCGAACCCTTGTAGTCTAAATGCGAAAGGGGAAGAGTAAGGAGGACCGTTGCCTTCCGTTTGCACCTTCCCACGAGGTCTTTGCGAAGAGCGGTTGACTGGCGAGTGGGCAAACATTCACCAGTGATTATCACAGAAGGATACACACTCCAGCAGTCTAGCAGCTTTTGAGGCAAACATGCCTCCAACCAGCACTATGATGAAGTTTTGAGCTGGCAGCCTGTGAAGTGTCAACCACCTTTTTATTGAGCTGCCTTAAACAGGGTCGTGGACAAGGAAGGTAGTCTGAATTTCAGGCAGATGAGCGATCGCGCTGGGAGATGCAGCAGCAGAATTTTCGAGCAACAAACAGCAATCAACAAACAGCCTTAAAGCCAATATATGGAAGCAGCGGTGGCAATCTTGAGGATCATAGCCCAGCTCTTTCAGAGACAAGAACATGTAAGAGCGTGGAATATTACGTGTATATATAGCTAGTAACAAGTGCCACGCTAGTAGTAACAAGTGCCACGCTACTAGTAACAAGTGCCTTACTAGTTTGAATCTCGCACGGTTCCTTTTCACAGCAGCGAATCAGCTCAAGGGCCCTATTTAGCCGAGACAGCAGCGGCGGTGCATCAACTGTACGCAATACACCCTGGCTACAATCGGTAAAATTCACACCCGTCTTATCTACAGGTGTGTTGCGGGCTTTACAGTTCAAATTTGTACAAAGGCAGCCAAGCAAACTCGATTCCCCGTGGGGCCGTAAACCATGCCATTCCATGTCGAATTCTCAAAACAAGTCATGGTGATACTTCCTCATCTTCCATCTTGGCTCCCTTTTCGCATGCGCCACTGTTCTCGACATTGACAAGTCCACTTTCCAGTGTCTTGAGGAGGTAGTCCGGCTTCATGCTTTTGGTTAGCGGGTCTGCCAATTGCTTCGACGTCTCAATCCACCTCAGGTGGTCACCATAGGGACTGTAGATCTCCGATGTCTTCTCGCCATTCACAGTCCACACTCCTTGCCTCAATGCAGCAAGTTCTATGCCAAGCCTTTTGTCTTGTACTTTTCTCGGAACCTCTGCCAGTAAATGGTCCGATAAGCTCCTGCAATCGGTGTAATACACATGTGCCATTCGTCTCTGAGTTTCCTCGTGCCAGTTCTTGAAGTCATCAAGTCGTCCGGTCAACTCACAGATCAGACATCGTAGACGATCTCCATGTTCGACTGCAGTTTGCAGAGCATATGCTTCTGCTTGCAATGTAGCACGACACACCCTTTTGAGGGTAGTTGAACCAAAGCTGATCAGATTCATTTTGTGACTGCCTTCCTTGAGGCTGCTCGCATTCGTTATGTAGTGAATGCGGCCTTGCTGACACTTAAAGCCCTCTTCGTTTGCGAAACTTGCGTCGCTAAACGTCACAACTGCCAAATCGCTCCAGTCAATCCAATCACTCTTGAAGGTGATCTGCGAGTCACTTCCTTGAAGTGCCAATTCAACAACCTTGTTGGCGTTCTTCAAGTCTTGCACTGTTGCCTTTGCGCTGCATGCACGTTGCATCTCATTCACACGGTAACAAAGGTCTGGTCTTCCATAACGTGCGACCCAAGCCAAGCTACCAACAACGCTCCTGAGGCTCGTCAACTCTTTCTCTGTCACCTTTTCCGACAGCTTCCGATGCTTGTCGATTTCGATCGGCTTCACTGTTCTGCAGTTCTCACTTGTAGAAATGCTCACGGAGAAGTCTTCATGCTGTACGAACTGCCGTCCGCAGTATCGGAATCTGCCTGACTCGGTTTTGCCAATCGTGAACCTTTTGAGGATGCCTTCAATTGTCTTCTTGCCTTCATCAAGGTAGCAATACAACAAATCGTCGACATGCGTCGCGATCATGCCGATCAACTTCCCCTTGGGATTGTGCAAATAGTACAATGCAGGTGTGATGCGACTGCATTTCAACCCGGCACTGGTGATCCCACCATTCATCCTCAAGTAAAAGCCTCTGCCTGCGTCGATCGTACCATAGATCGGAAGGCGTGCAACCAGCATAGCATCCGGTGGAACATCCGGACTTGGAATTCCACCACGTGGCTGTTTGAGCAACAGCAACCTCGTCATCGGTTGACTCTGGAAGTACGCTGAAGAAACATCTGCCGCGTACAGGGTCACGCGATGGCTTGATGCGAAGCTCGCAATCAACATGTGTCCTTCAGTCTCAGCTGTGGGGCTGTCGCAGCGGATGCCCTGTGCATCACGGCTCACTTGTTCGTGGTTTCCACAAGCGACTAGACGAGATCTGTTTTCGGGCTGATGTTCAGGCGTTCCTGTGAGATGAGCTTGTTTATCCACATCTGCCCATTGCATGGGGATGGGAACATGCCCTTCCTGAAGCAACTCTTCCAACTCTTTGCCTCGAATGGGCATTGCAGCGTTGAAGCCCCTATATTTGCTCCACTCTGCACAACGTGCGTCCAAGATGCGGGCCTGCATCTCAGGGGCGCAGCGGTCGTACTGTAGCGTCCGTGCCACTTTGCCAGCATGCGTCTCACTGTTTTCTCCAAAGCGCTGAGCTACGAAGGCTTGAAACTCTGCAGTGTCAAGTCCGGTCTCGTCAACAGCGGCCATGGCGATCAACGGGTGTCTTACCCGTGTAAAGACAGTGAAACCAGTCCACACGCGAGAGTCAACATCATCCATGCCCGCCATGGACTCGCTGGTCACTCGACTGCCGTCTTCGTAGGCTTTTCTGGTCACGCGTCTTCCTCCGAATCCTTCCGGAACATCTCCGTCATACAGCGGATGGAAGTCATGGAATCTCCTCTTGTTGTGGACACGAATTGCATGGCTCTCAGAAATCCTCCAATGGTCTTCATTGTCAACCATTGCAAGCATGACCTCATCGTCACCGACAATGCCTCCGGGGGTCATCGGAACTGCGACTGCGCTTCCGCTTGCGCTTGCAGATGATCGGGCAGCCTTGCCCGTCTTATCTTCTGCTTGTGCTTCTCTCTTGTGTCCCTTCTTAGGGCTTGCCTCTTCGTCCATCATTCGGATGTACTTCTGCTGTCCCAATGTCACTGCTTCTGGGAAAGCTGGGATGTTGTTCAAAATAGAGTAGGCCAAAGATTCACTCTCATTGGCTGATCTGAGTTTTCCAGCGGCACACAAAACAGGAACACCTTCATGTAGCAACCAGATGCCATTATGCGGGTCAACGCCGATCACACGCGAAGCAGTGGACCACACGGTTCCACCTTGCTGGGTGTCACGACGATAGACCACGAGGTCTCCAACCACAAATGACTTCTTGTTCTGGACTGCTGCATTCCTGGTCAATGCTCTTGCAACACGGGAACTTGTATCCAAATGAATAAATGCCTTTTGCGCAGCCATACGAGATGCATGACACAAATGATAGCTTGCTGCAGGGTCAAGCTTGTTCTCCAAGATGCCTAAGTTTCCTGCTTCATCCATATCTGTCACAGGTCCTGGAACTCTTGGGTTCCTTCCCAGGACCCATTGTGCTGGAGAATAGCCTTGGACTCTCTGCATGTGATTCTTCACGGAAGTACATTCATGCAAGCATGTTTCAAATGCATTACGGCCAACGGCTTCCATGTCATGGATGGTCTTCCTGAGAATTGCCTTCAAGATACCTTGGTGCCTTTCAACGTTGCCAATGGCTGACGGTGTCTCCAATGGTGCATAGAAGATCTCGACACCGTGCGAAGCGAACAGCTTGGACACCTCACCTCGGTTGTGGACACCTCTATCCATGATTGCAGCCTTTGGAAAACCTGCCCAACTGATCCATCTACGAAGAATGGCTTGTGCACAGGCCTCTGACGTTGGCATACCTCCACCTTCTTTTGACAACCTCTGACAGATGGAATCCTGTCGAAATGTCCAGCATCGTGAGGATGCTGTACTTGTTCCCTGCATAGTCCTTCATCTCTGTGACGTCAAGGCCAAGCATGGCATTGAACTCATACTGGAAATTACTATTTCCTACCGGATGGTCACGGGGACGTGGTGCAGTATCTTCGCAGGACTGACAACGGACAAGACGTGCGGCTTCGATCAACTCCTTGCTTGCCTTACCTGCCTTTAAAATGTTCTTCAAAGTTGACGGTGCGGGATGTCCGAACTGCCGACGCAAGCGACGAATTGCAATGCGAGTCCTCTGGGGAAGAGCACGCCACAACTGTCTCCGCTTCTGTTCCGTCATGTCGGCTCCGGGCAATGCAAGTTGATCTAGCATGAGTTCTTCCTGTTCTCTTGCCGACAACGGTTTTCCATCGTCTTGTTTGGTTTCCCGGGAAACTCCCTCAATGTCACTGTCGTCAATTTCAGAGATGCCTTCAAGTTCGTCTGCAACAAAACATGTCCGTGCAAAATGCTCCAAGTCTCTTCTGACATAGTGTTCAACATCTCTAGGAGTTTTGCCGATTTCGCGTCCTCAAAACACTTTGGGATCACGTTCTCTCCGCACCAACCTTCCAGCGCCTCCAAGAGCTTGGGGCTTTGTGGGCCTGCCAGGGCAAACTCTGGGTCACCACCAAGACAAATGGAATGTTCAACTGATATCTCGAGAAGTGGTG